CCGCGTGCTTCTCTGCATGCGTATGCATACGTATGAATGCATGCCTGTATGGGTTTTTCTATGTCTGTATCTATGAATGTATGCATTTAGTTTGTATGTAATTATGTATGGTTGTGTATGTTATGTTTTGTTTTGTTATGTAATCTAACGTGACGAAAAGTAAGGTAATGTAATCTTATGTATGTATGCCTATACATACGCATGTATTTTAATCCATGTATGATAAGTTTATAAATATAATACTTAGACTTATGCATGCATGTTTCATTAATAGACTGCTCTATTTCTTCACAAGCGCAGCCGTCACATAGAACGGAACAGTCCAAGCCACGGGGGTGGGGGGGGGGGGACTAAAATGACTAGGTAACGGGGCTGGCCGCCCTCCCCTTTACTTCGTAAAGTAAAACTCAAGGTAGCCCCTCTGGAGCTACCTTTCGTGATGTACAGTATTTGATCAATGATCAAAGTTGAAGGCCTACTTCAAAGCTCGGTCATGGCACCAAGCCATCCTGATCCAGACCTCTTGGGATGTGCTAATCCGCCTCTGATCATCCAATCTGAATCAATCTGGAAGCAAAATATCACCAAGTTCTACCTGTTTCATGGTCAAAAGGTCTCTGTGGTCTAAAGTCTAAAGTCCAGAATGGGAGATCCTTATCATTTCCCTACCGATCCCGACGATCATTTGTACATCCCTACGGATGAGGTCGCAGCTCGAATCTCTTCCATCTGCTCAAAGGTCTTGCGAGGACTCGAATCTCGGGTATCCTCCTGTGCTGGAAGCCCTGATTTGGACCAGCCATGAACCTTTTCTCAATGGATTTGGGGAAAACATGGGAAAACCAAATGGTAAATTGGGTGTTCTCCCCGGGTTTTTCATATTGTTTTGTTGTAGTTTACGAGAGGGTAGTGGTTACTTACTAATGGTTGCTGTTCTAGTCCCGTGTAAAAAAAAAAACGAATCACCAAGAAAATAACTCGACAGGAAGAGTCACCAGAAAAAAACAAAAAAGAACAAGAAAAAAAATAAATAAACCTGCATTTTCCACAGTTTTTTTGTTTTTTGTTTTTTCTTGTTTTTCTTGTTGGCATGTTGTTTTCTTTTTGTTTTTTCTTGTTTCTTACTTGATTTTGGTGTTCTAGTTTTTTTTTGTTCACTCTGGTGTTGTTTTTTATTGTTTTTTTTGTCCAACCCTATATTCTCTGTGTTGCTGGGGTCATAAGGTTACTGTTAACTGGGAAAGCCTAGCCATGGGATGGTTCGACTACCGACATATCGGGGCTTTCTGAAGTAGGAAACCTCGATTTAGTTGTGATTTACTACTAAAATAGGAAAAGATCGGGATTGTGGAGCTGTTGTGGGGATTTAGTTGATAGGATAATATCGGGATTTTCCCAGATGTTCCTATGATTTTCCTATCAACAGCTCCATTTACAGGAGATGTTCCCATATTTCATATGAATTTCCCAGCTAAAAACCATCCATTTTTCATTGAAATTCTCCCATGGCTAGACCTCCTCCGCTTCCATCGCCAGCTTCGCTTCCCGGACAGCTTTGTCCCTGGAGCAGAGCTTGGGCGGAAAGGGTCACATTTTCAGAAGGTGTTTACAGAATATATATATAATATAAAGGTGTATATATGTATATGTATATGTATATGTACATGTATATGTATATGTATTAGATTATATTAGTATATCAAACTCAGGGCACCTACAATTTTTTGCCAACTTCGGAAAAACAAAAAAAACATACTGTTCCAAGAGCAATTTCTGCAGCCTTCTTGGCATCCCCATGATCCCCAGAAGAAAATGTATGTTACTCAAATCCCCATGATTCTTGCTTGATTTAAGGGTATGGGACAAAATTGGGTACCCCAAGTATTGGATGGTGAATACATGTTAGACTTAAATCTCTGATCCCCCAGGTCCTTAATTTTGACCATCGCTGATGTTCGTGGTGGCCCATTCCGACCTCAACCGGTCCCTCCGTTGTTCCGCGCGCGACTCCAAACGTTCCTTCAGCAACACCTGCTGCAGCTTGGGTGTTCATCAGCAAAAGGGATGGGATATGATATATCGCCTCATATAAATGGTATATACAGTATATTACATATGTATAAATATAATTATATATATATATATCCTGTGTTTTTGAACTTCAAGCCCATGAAAACTTGTTGAAACAAGGTGATGCGTGCCAACAAAAAATGAGGAAGATTCACCTGCAGGAATCATCAGAAATCACCAACAATCAGCATGGTCAGCATGGATTGCTGACACCTTTTGACTCAATGGGGATTCTATAGCACCAAAAGTGAATATATGGCCAAGAACTGCCAAGTCTTGGATTCTCTTGAAGTCTTTGGTCAAGCTGCAGGTCATTCCTTGTTTCGAAACGATTTTCCACCTGGAATTGGTAAACCTCAGCTATGCAACCCATCTGAGGCATAAATAAAACACCCAAACTGTGGGGTATTTTTGTGGAATTCTGGGGAAACCATCATCGAACCCCATCAAAAATGATCAACAATTTGGGACGATCATTTGGGGTCCCACATGACTCAGGAATAGGAAACCCCTTCAACCGGCTTGGCCGTTCTGGACCCATTTTCAGGATTTGTGTGGGTCAATGGTCAAGAATCTTGGTACCAGATCCATTTCGGCGGCTTAATCATCTTGTTTTGTCGTTTCCAACGAATTTTCAATAGCAACGAAAGTCTGGGACCGGATCTATTTCGGATGCCAAAATTCCAATGCTTGGAGCCCCCATTACAACACGGATCCCTGATCCATGCCTTGTGGTGATAGACCTTGGCTCCTTCCGTCGACGTCGGCACATCGGCCGGGATGAAGCTTTTCGGATCTGCGAGTTGGAGATGGATATGGGTCAAACCCTTGGTGCCCTATCGAAATAGCTGGCTATATGATGCTATATGGATGTTTATCCCAAAAAAAAAAGGATCCGGCAAGTTTTGAAATCGTTTTGAACCATACCTGGTTGATGGTTGACCTACCCCTCTGAAAAATGACTGAGTTCATCAGTTGGGATGATGAAATTCCTAACTGAATGGAAAAATAACATTCATGTTCCAAACCACCAACCAGATACCCACTTAACTAACCAAAATAGATGATGTTTGGAATTGAACTGACCTCACCATGGTTGCCGGCGCCTGCAAAGTAGGCACCTTCCAACTTCTGTCGGACGCTGCCCTTCAGAGGTGGCGGCAATCCCAAGCGTGGCCTGACCAATGCTTAAAAAAGCCATTGAAATGTGGGAAAAATCGTGGAAAAACCATGGGAAAATGACAAGTCACATAAAAAGTCAGAAATGTTAGCAGGAAAAACAGTGAGTGATATGGGAAACTGTTGGGAAATTCGGAAATTCTTTGGACATGTTAGATTCAGAGAGAGAGCCGGTGGGACACCGCTGGGCTGTCCCCGCAAACCGTCTTCATCCAGATCTTCCACAAAGCTCCTGGCGTTGGGAAAACGGCGGGGGGGCATCAAATGTTACCAAGCGACACATGGGCTGGATGTGGTTATTTTCGTGAGATGACACATGGCCTTCATGTGGTTATTTTCGTGAGATGACACATATGACATCAACTACAATGGGGATGTAATAGCGAAATACCGGAGATACAATGGAGAGGTATATAAGATGGAGATAGTGGGATGTATGTCCAAAACCATGCGATATAGGTGTGTCTGAAAATGGATGCTATGGTAAATCGTCAATGTCTATCAAGTATTGGGGTACCTGTCATGGAAATCCAAGAGGACTCCGGTCAGGTCATAAATATACGGGTTGTGAAGCACCGTCAACCTTTGGAATTGTAAGAGGACCCATAGGATATTGTACAATGCTGAGGCTTGTCATGGAACGGCAAAATGGGTTTGAACATGTTTGAACCAACTTCTTGGATTTTGTGGTATTTGCTTTGCGTGTATGGTCATGACCCCAAGTAGATGGAACAAGGGGACAAATTTGAATACCCAAAATCTCAATTTTGACACTTAGAGCTAGTTGGAAAATTCCCGAACCACGGAGATTTAGTTCGCTGGGAAAATCATCAAACTATTGGGGAATGGTAACCATTGCCCCGTTTGATTACCCAAGGGTAATCTATACAATTGATCTCAGAGTTATACAAAATAAACTATACCCATATATATATATAGGTTATAAATTTCCCTATGGTAGTTTATTCATTTCCCCTTTAAGTTAATTGACTCGGCAACGGTCGCCTTGCGATTTCCGGAAGTGCCGCAGGCAACTCCTGCAACCACCCAGAGCTAGTGGAGGGTGAGCTGCATGGAGTCAATAGTAAATATTAAGCCAATTCAGACCCAGTGGTTTCTAGATATGTAAAGATGTTTATAGATTTTTATACATATTTATATGATTATAGATATTTATAGATATTTATAGATGATTATAGATATTTATAGATATTTATAGATGATTATAGATATTTATAGATATTTACAGATGTTTATAGATGTTGTAGATGTTTATAGTCATAGGTCTATCAGAAACTTGGATTATTTCTGCTTCATGTCTAGTTTTTGAAGTGTGATCCGATCAATCCCATCATCTTAAAACTCCAGCCACGAACACGGTGAAATGTCTTGGCTCGATCGGCGGAAGGGATAGCCATGGCCCATAAATTACTTTGCGTCCCTATTCAAAATGCTGGCTTTTCCTATGTTCGCTCTCTTTCTTTACCACTCATATCCGATGTTCACCAGAGCTTCTTGGGGTCGAAACTTGGAGACGATCTCTCCTTGGAGACGATCCGCGTCCGGCGACCTCCGGGCTTCAATCAGCTGAAATGGTGAAGGTCACCTGAAGCCTCACACAAAATCTGTGTTACCCTCTGGTAAACTAACAGTTCGCCATGGAAAATCACCATGCTATTAATAGATTTAATAGGTAAACCATCTATTTCGATTAGGGCCATCTATACCATGGCGAACTGTTAAATAACCAAATGGTTAATAGTCATGTCACCAAGTTTCATGGAAATTTTAAATCGAATCGGAATACATTCCAACTTCTGTTTCAACTAAAATTGGGGATCTCATGTTGTCCGGGCGAACGAAATCCCCTGTTTGGGTGGTTAAGAGTCCGGTATGTTTACCGCTTGTTTATTTAATCATATCAATATCTATCTATCTATCTATCTATCTATCTATCCATCCATCCATCCACCCATCTATCCATCTACCTATTTTCTTATCTACTTATCTACCTATCTCCATGCCTGAAGGTTATAGCCCCATCGAAATTTATGTTGATCAAATCCCCAACCATATGGATAAACATGGTTTCTTCTGCTAGGTTCCCGATGATTGTTGCTTCATGGTTGGTAAGTCCCTCAAATTATACCCAAGGTTAACTGAATCTCCCCACCTTGCCGTTTGTGCTTGGCAATCCTCGCACATTAATCCTCCATTACAGACACATATCTTCAATATTCATATCACAAAAAAAGAAGATTGCTTAAATCCTCAAAGATTTCAACAGATTTCAAATTTCTGGCGCCCAAATCATCCCAAAATGCTCATGTTTGACTGTTCAATCCCAACTTTCCTAGTGTTTGATGAATCAATCCCCCTTGTTGGTTAAATCACCATCTTCCACCATTTTTCCTGGGTGAACTCTCCAAGTTCCTGCCACCTCGTAATGGCTGCGTGGCCAGGAGGTAGGCCGGGTTGGCGCTGGAGCGCCTGTTCAGCGCTATCATCACTTTGATTCCAAGATTTCGAACAAAAACCAGAGATATCTAAACAAGTATATAAAACTGATGAGATATTCCAATTTTTCTGTTTATTATCAAAAATATATTTATTTATGTTTCCATCTTTATAGATTTATCTGTTTAATGTCCGGTTTATATCTAATTTAAACAGATATTTAGGATAACAGATATAAGATGATTTAAGGTTATCATCAAAGACAACTAAAAACTATAAAAATAGAAAAGTTATATATTCTATTAGTTACTAAGTCAATGTGGGTTAGCTAATGTTGGAAAATTCTACCGTATTACTGTTAGAGTTCATCAAGCTCATCTAATAATAGAACAGCTCATCAATGGAACGACATTTTTCTAAACTAAGTATGAGTTTTTTGACATTAGTTGGATAATTAAAATTGATCGGATACTAATGACACTTAATTAGTACTAGTATGTACTAGTATTAATGAATATGATCATTAAGACTAAAATGACGTTTACCAAACCCTGTAATTGGTTGGTAATAATAATTCATCAATTCTAATTATCGATGATTGCCTTAAACAATTCGTTATTATTATTATTGGATTACCACACTGGTTCAGATTTTGCAGGGCGCCAGAAAGATTGTCAAACATATCAGCTTACCTAGCTGTGTCAGTTTGTTGCCACAAAGAAAGTCCAAACCCATGCCAATTCTGGATTAATACTGTAAATTCTTGTTGATTCGTTGGAGGGGTCGCTTCCATGACTTTCCCCGTTGGAGTCATGGGGCTTTGGATACTTCTGAGCCACAGCCATGAAGCACATATCAGGACCCCTGCGTACACAGGAAGGGGCCGCAAATATACGTATATACATAGATATCTATTTATATTATATCTATATCTCTGTATGTATAATATTATATATATATTAACCCATCCAACTGTAGAGGTTTTTTTTCCGTTCTGGCGCCATCAACGGCAAACTCTGACTGTTTCGAGGTCATGACCTGTATCGTCGCAGTTCCAATTTGCCGCGCTGCACCATGAAGACACAGGGGTCCAACCTCGGGAAGTGAGCTGAATTCTGGGAGATCTACGGTAATTTTACGGTGATTTATGGTGATTCATAGGGGAGATCTATGGTGATCTAGGGGGGGACTCCCCAAATAGTCATTTCATCTGATACTTTTTTATGGTATCCCCCCAATGAAACAGCCGTAAACGGGGTTTATTAATCCAGGGTTGACATTATGGTTGTTGATGGTGATTCTGAAAGTGATTTTTGTTTCACATCTTGACTTGATCAGCTGGAGCTGGAAATGGGTTGCCAACCTCCAGGCCAACTAGGGAGAATGATGATTAACCCATGGATTTAAAGAAAATCATCACCGAAATTCATGTTCCCCAAAAAAATCGGACAAACCCCAAAAAATGGCGGCCATTTTTTGGCTTGCAGTTTCTTGATCCTGAGTTTCTCGAATGAAAAATGGGCGGCAATCAATAAAAAGTATACTTCTCTGTCAATTTAGTTGTTCTTGTTGGATACCCTCTGGTAATTTAACATAACTATGGAAAATCACCATTTTTAATGGGAAAACTCACTATAAATGGCAATTTTCAATAGCTTTTTGTATGTTTACCAGAGGGTAAGTCCATAATACAACTTTCGCAGTGTTCGATCCAGACATGACATTCGCTTGCTTGGGCAATAGGTTTTTGTCTTGGTGCACTCTTTGGCGCAACGATTGAACACATCCAATGGAAAAATCTGAACAAAAACCCAAACATGAATCTTTTTTGGATCTGATCATGATTTCCGAAAAAATAGCAAATAGGGCTACCCCCACGAAAATGGCCATTTATAGTGAGTTTTCCCATTAAAAATGGTGATGTTCCCATTAAAAACAGGGCTACACCATTAATAATCCCTTTTTCTTTGGGATTTTCCACAAAATAGTCGTCCAGGATGGAGAATCCGCCATTGGCGATGCGATTTTCGGCGGTTGAATACCCCCGAAGAAAATGAGATACATAGACATGTAATGCGTAGCTGTATCTGTATGTGTATATATACTGTATGTGTATATATGTATACATCTATCTATATATATATATATTATATATTATATATGTATATATATAAGCAGAGATCACTATATGTCACATGTCTACATGATATGAAAAATGATTCCCAACTATGCCCCATTGCCAAAAACCTCTTCACAGATTCTGTTCATGAAAAAAGATGAATACCACCCAGGCCATGTAGTGACAGTGTGTTCCCATGTGTGGAAAGCTAAGTCCTCATGGCTTGGAAAGGATAGGGGTGAGAATGGGAAGTGAGACAAAACCTTCAACTGCTTGGTTCAAATAGGGGATTCCCATGTGGAACAAAAAAACACCATCGACTAATTGGATTAGTTAGTTCAATCAGCAAGGAGAACGAGCCAGGTGTTTTTGGGTCCCGAACACTTCCACGCCTTCCTCCAAGATGGTCTCCCTGAAGGTCGTAGAGGCGAGAAATATGATGAAATATGTTCACTCGGACTGTGGCAGATGTTGATTGCTTTTTTCGAGCAAAGTATGGAGCTTCACATCGTGTTTCACACTGAGAGTCCCGCCCAACTGGAAGAAATTCCTGAATCCAGCATGACTTGACCCAGCCATCGGATTCATAAGGGATCATATGGGATTTATAGACATAAATCTGGGATTGAATATAAAGTGAAAATCTTATGATCCTTATAAGGATTTATACCATAAGGATTTTTCCATGATCCTTTTTGTATGAAAAATCTTGGATTTTTATTCCAATGATCCAATGATCCAATGATCCTTATGAACATAAATCTATCCCTTCATTCAATCTGGGCAAATTCCTGTACCAATGGTGTTTTCTTTGTGTTGTCCTACTCTCGCGAAATCTGCACCCGATAGATTTATCTCAATTCACAAACCTACTAGAAACCTACTAGAAACCTACTACAAATTATATACATTTGGGGGTTTCCCAAAATGGGGGATCCCCAAGTCATCATAGGTTTCAATACTAAAACTATCTAAAAATTGTCAAATGACGGATTTTGGGACACCCCGATTGGCTCGCGTCGCTGGGCCGACGAATTTTTTGCTGCCAAGGCTCGCGTTTCCAGTATTCCATAGGGTGGGGCCTCAATTGTCGATCACTATGTCTATTGGTAACACATAAGTATCATAACCATTTTGGTAACACATCATAAGATGACTTTTGACCGGGCTGTTCTGTTCTTGATTCATCCAGCAGAGTGTATTCACCTGCGATTGATATTACTGGGATGTGCCTCAAAAAGGGCAATGGGCTCTTCTCTGGTGATGTTAACCGCCTACAAAAAGTTGGGGTAAATTCAGTCTGCGAAATTTGTTACTTTCTTTAAGTGGCCTGCAAAAAACACCCAAACAAGTTACCATCATTGGTCAAAAATCATTCCATCTGGTCCCACGAAGCGCCCACTACAAAGTGCATGGCTTTGCAGGTCGACGAAAGACACAGAAACGACCCCGACAAAATGTGGCCTGAAACACCCTTCCCGATCAAAATGCTAATATGTCTGTGACATGGCTACCTGATACCCAAAAGTTAGGTCGCAACAGATTCTGCACGCTCGTACCCTCGTCTAGTGACGGCCATTGGGTTTGATGATTTGGCTACGAAAAATTGTGATTTTCGATCGCTATGTTAAATTGCCACAGGGTACCTTGAAACTACCCTTTGGTAAACATACAAAAAACTATTGAAAATTGCCATTTATAGTGGATTTACCCATTAAAAATTGGGATTTTCCATAGCTATGTTAAATTACCACAGGGTAACTTGAAACTACCAAGCATTGCCAAGCAATGACAAAACCTGCCAAAAAAACGCCCAATATCCCCATGCACTGTTTGGCTTTCAACTAAGGTTTACCACTTTGGGTTGGTTAAAACCCAGATTGGCGATTCCACTTAATCCTGGTATACCCTGGTTCCTGCCCATGGCTATTCCCAGCATGGATCATGATAATTCCCCACATATATATATATATATATACTGTATAAATATATATATGGATACATTAATCATCAATCAACGATCATGTATCAATTCTATCCCCCCTTTGACTGCTAAAAACTTCATGAATGACGGTTGAATAGCCATCAAATTAGTCGTGGACCATTGTTCCTCGGTCAACGCTAGTTTGAGTTGAAATATCCCCATTTCCCTGCATTAAATCTCCGCGTTTCAATATGGTGAAATCCCATGCTTTCCTCCATTTTTCATGGTAAAATCCCATGTTTTCCTCCATTTTTCACGGTGAATTTCCCATTTCTTCGCGATGTTTTTCTTCAAAAATCACCAGCCGCTGAGCCAATGACCTGGTCTTCGCCTTGTTGCCGGGCAATTGGATCCCCGGCAGGTAGAGGTCGAAGAATCGGTGCGTCTCCCGGACCCTTGGGGGGTCCGAAGTCCATGGGGAAACCGTGGGGAAAATGGTGGTTTTCTGTGGAATCCATGGGAAAATGATCGGAGGCATATATCGGAATTGTCTTCCAAATAGTGTTTAGGATAGTGTTTAGGAATGGAAATATTTACACATGATCTACATAAATATGTCTGACATAGTTATAGATGTAGATCATCCATTGACTACGAATACATGCTATATGTCCACGTTTATGGTGGGGGGGAAACAACATCTAATCTACAAGGTTCTCATCGTTTGCAGGAGAGTATCATACGTGTGTGTGTGTGTGTTCATCGATCTCTCTAAAAATCTATCAAGTACTGTGTATGTATATATATATATAAATCGATACATATCCATATCTGGAATATGTGTGTCTATATCTATACATACAAAAATCTAAGAATCTATATATCTATAAAACCTATCAAATCTAGAACATCTATGTATATTGTATATAGGTTACTATAGGTTATATAGTAAAAAAAAAGAAACTGGGGGTCGCTTATGTATAAATGGAGTATTATATATATATATGATTCATGTTCTAATATGTGTTGAGCTGTCCATGTACCTATATATATATATCGATGCATCTATGATGTGCGTATGTATGTATACATTCAATTATATATATAGAGATATAATCAATTATAATCATTGTATTACAAGTACTAGTACGATGTATAATATATATATATATATATATGTATGTAATGTATAATGTATACTGTATATGTTTCTATATATATATATGCATGTACTTCCTATGTCGATATTGTTTGAGTTGTCTGCTTGGGTCCAGAGGTGCTAAACATGGATGATGGGAGCCTATTTCCCCATTGACACATCTAGAAATCACAGAATTGGCTTTATCATTCGGTATATCCCCATGATATCCCAATTGTTGGAATACCACCATTTTAGGAATACCACCATTTTTTGGAGAATACCACCATTTTTTGGAGAGACCCACCGTGCGTGATTTTCCCTCTGTACGTGGTCGCCTGCCCATCCGCTCGCCGTGGCGTAGGCAAATGGCGTCCCCAAGTCGCCCCAAGTGGCAGGGGCGACAAGTGGCGGGAAATGACAAGTGGATCATCATCTCATTCGACCAAAACCCTGGGTGGAAGTTGGTTGCTCGGGATGATGATGATAAGAATAGTTACAATAATAACAATAATAATCATCATAATAATGATGATAATGATAATAATAATCTCTTCTTATTATTGTATGATAATAATAAAAATGAGAAGAAAAATAAGAATAAGAATAAGAATCAGATTAATAATAATGATGATAACAATATTAATAATCTTAATAAACTACTATTAATAATAATAACAAACATATATACTATAACATATACTATAAGATATACTATGTATGCCAAAACCTGGCGTTAAAGGGACGATGGAAACAGTACGACAAAGACGACAATTCCATGTTTCCAAATATCGCCTGTGTCCTATGGGAAAACCATCATTTCATAGGCAAATTTCGCCTATCTAAAGAGGCCATCGACCTATACCACACAACGTGGGGCCCCCGTTTTTCCGAAATGATAGCGTTCAGTTGGTGCGTTTATAACTCCAATGTCACTATGGTTGATGATACGCAAATAACATCAAATAGATGGTTTAATCCCACATGAACTATATGGTGTAATCCCAATGTTCCACTATAACTATGGTTTAATGGGGTTTATAAACCATTGTATAACTGGGAGCCCCACGAGTTGTAGCTATATGGTTAGTAGAAACTGGAGGGTAACTCAGTGTTGTGCCGCACCTGCAGAGTGTTTTCACAAACCCCAAACTCGAAAATGCCAGCAGTTGATCCTATTTCATTTCTTAATTATCATAGATCAAATATGTATATAATATATTCTATATATATATACATACATATATATATATATTGATCCCTTCTACTTAGTATTAATGTATCTATTAGCCCTAGAAAGCCTGGTTAAGTATTGCATCTATTCATGTTGGTGGCTTAAAAAAAGGACCCATTCACAGCATCTGTGGGATGATGAGCCTAGATCTCAATGTCGTATCGGTCGTCCTTTACAAGTGACCGAGTTAGAAACGACGCTCAAACGGTCCACGGTCCCGAGGACAACTTTGCAAGGCCCATGCAATGGCGTACCAGCGATATCGGTGGTCAATGGAAGTGGAGTAGCTAGACATCTTGTGTTTTCTGTGCAGTTTTTTCCAATCCAAAGTGATCCCTCTGAGAAATATTACTCAATGGGAAGGATTATCCGATTATCCCGTATATTCTGGAAAATAAAGTCATGTTCCAAACCACCAAGCAGTGAGTGTATGTATATGAACCTCCGAAAACTGTCGGTGAAATCAACACAGGACCCCAGCAGTTGGTGACCAGAATGTTGGTTCAGAATGGATTTACGGCTAAACTATGTCACAATTCACCCAGAAAAGATAGGCCATACATAGAGTATGATTCCAGTGGTGAAGTCCGACTGTAATTCAACCAAATCTACCATCTGGTTATGACTAACAGTTCGCCATGGAAAGATCCACCATCTTTAATACGTAAACCATCTATTTCTATGGGCCATCTATACCACGGCTATGTTAAATAACCAGATGGTAATGCCTATTTTTTGGGACACACCATTTGCTACTGGTTTGTCAAAACAAAACAGCTTCCGACCACGCTACGTTTTACAGGTCACGCTACGCCATTGCCGATGCAAGTTGGGGGCGTTCCCACAGAAATCAGAAAGGAATTCAGCTGGCTCAACCCTCCACCCGAAGGGAAGTGCGTGGGTTTCACAGCGCTATCCGTAGATTTCAGGAAACCCCGGTTTGTACGGCCTGCAAAATTGGCCAAAGGTGCTGTACAAATCATGAAATTTGGATTTCTGGTGAGCCACTGCTGGCGAAATATGAAGATCGTGTATGATCAAATTTCATCATCTTTTCACTTCATCATCATCATCATCATCATTATTTTATGATCATCGTGAAAATTTGGGAAGGACTGTAGGATTGCAAAATTCTCTGATACCTGCCACATCAACCCACCAAGCAGCAAATTGACTCTGCAATGTGCCTCAGCAGCCTTTGCCGCCCAAGAAACGCAAGCATGCCAAGTTTTTGTCTAAGATCAACACATCCCCTACGAAAGCATAGAGGAAGGCTGAGCTCAAAACCACACATCCGATGATGGCATAATGCCTTCGGTAGGGCCAGTCTCTCTTACGGCGTTGCGCATCTGCTTTTTGAGACGGCAACAAGGGTAGAAAAAACAAGCAAAACAAACTCAAGGCATAAGATAGGAGGTATGTTTCCGCCACGGTCAGTCGAAAGGATGGATGGTCCTCAATGTAGTTCTGCCGCTCCGTGATGGACGGATGGAAGGAACCAAAGATTTGGTTGCTCAAAAGGACGGCCAAGGGGTTCCTGCGAAATTCCAACTGTGGTTTCACCGAAAGAGTAATGTGTGTATCACCGTATTACATAATACAATATACTACACATATAACTTTTACATATACATGTATACATTGTGAAACTCCCAAGTTGTCTTTCCATATTGGTCCCTTTTCTATTGCCGTCCACCGCAGTGGAGGGAGGGTTCGAGGAGTCACCAGGCGCGGCGGAACAAAAGAGACCTAGGACAGGGATCCTTGGCGGAATCACAGGACTTCATTTGGCATCTCAAAGGGCTTGAGATTAACATTGGTAGCGGAGCCTCCATTTGCGGAGGTCTCCTTAGGATCACCACCCATTGGTCCCCTAATAAAAGAGGGTAATTAGGAAAGGCCTAAAATCCTCAGGGAATTCACTTAAATTTTGTTGGTTGCACGTGTTTCAAACAAAGGGGTTTGGACAAAAGGCACACTAGACCTGAACCTGAGCCATGGAGGGTGTGGGATCAGCTGGTGCCTCGACCGATGAGCGCACCAGCAATCTATGGAGCATCCTACCTTACGTTTGACCCGGCAGTGGATGATCCACGAGAATATGTGCACAAGGTGAAGTTTCTTCGGGCTATATGCCCGGCCAAAGACAAGGGCATGCTTGCTCCCCGTTTAGCAATGCTCATGAAAGGTACCGCATGGGCACAGATCAAGGGATCCGAAGCTGCTCTTCTCTCTGACCCTGAAAAGGGAGTAGATGTTCTCCTGGCGTCAGTGGCTACTTGGGAGGAAAACTCTGAGCTGCAGACCTATGACAAGTTTGAAAGAGCTCTCTACAAGGTGATTCAACGAAATGATGAGACCACGTTGAGCTATGTCAATCGCTTGAACGTTGCCTTCACAGAGTTGGGCAAGGTTGACATCGCTGACATGAGAGCCTTCATACTTTTGCGCCAGAGCGCACTTTTGGCCGAGGACAAGAAGAAGGTCATTACCCTTACGGGTGGGGAGCTCACTGCCAAGAAAGTGGAAGGAGCTATGCGTTCACTGTCAACAAAAGTGCTGGGCGGGCAGACAGACCAGAAAAAGAAAACTTACCCAATCAACTTCGTGGATGAAGATCACGAGGAGGTCTACCATGCAGGTGATGATGATGGATGGGATGAAGAGACGATTTTGCAGTCTCTAGTAGAACAAGGAGATGAAGATGCTCAAACAGTGAGCGATTTCGAAGACCAGCTCATCGATGTGTGCCAAGAAAGTTCCGAACTCTCTCTCTCTCTCTCTCTCTCTCTGTTTTTCCGCTTATGCCGATGCCAGAGCCAGGATTCGTGACAAGCTTCGAGCCCGTGGCTTCTGGCCTGCCTCCAAGGGTTCAAAAGGCCGTGGTCGAAAAGGGGGAGGTTTCAAGGGAGTTGGCAAGAAGAAGAACCAGACCCTTGCCGACTGAATAGCCTCATCGGCATGCATTTGCGGTGTCAAAGGTCATTGGAAGTGGGAGTGCCCTCGTAAGGGCGGAGCTGCTTCGTCAAGTCAAAATGCTGATGTGAACCTCGCCTTGAAGTTGGCCAGTGGTGATTTTCATGAAGAACTTCAGTGGCAACTTCCATCCCAGGACAAGGGCAAGGGCAAGATCATCCGCTTGGAGGACATGGTCAAGACCTGGGATCAGGACTGCTTTGGGGTTTTCCCTCCATTTGAGTCTACCGTTGTTCAACAAACCGAACACGGGGTTAATGAGGAATTCATTTTTATGACGGAGTCAAAGAAATTTGAAGCACTGACCAATTATCTGAAAGTGGCTACCCTTGAAAGTCGTTTGTCCAGGGTGATGAGGGGGAAATTGTCCAGGAATAGCACTGTTTCTTCGACTTTTCCAGTTTTGAGTGCGGAAGCCAGCTGTCCAGGAATCATAGACACAGGAGCCAGTAAATCACTCATTGGTCAGAAAAAGGTCAAGAGCTTGTTGCACAGTTTGCCAACCGCAGTTCAATCTCAAGTGCATTGGGGAAGTTCAAACACTGTTTTTCGTTTTGGGAATAATGGAACGTTGCCTAGTGTTGGAGCTTTGTATATTCCTTTTGGTGCTCGTTGGATGAGGCTTGAGGTGGTCAAAGGTGAAACACCATTTCTTCTCTCCAATGCATTTTTGAAAGCAACTGCAGCTGACGTCTGTTCTTCTTCGTGTGAACTGTTTTTCACTGAAAGTAGAATCAGAGTACCACTTCATGTCAACTCCAAAGGCTTGTATACAGTTGAACTTGCTGATGTCTTGAAAGCCGTTGGAAAATGCACGAATTCGGAGTGTGCCGACAATTGTGAAGTTGTTACTCATGTCAAAACAGTGGAAAACTCAATGAAGTCAATAGTTAAAACCAAAGTTGGAAGCAAAGCAGAAGCCGAACGACTTCTTGAAGCTGCAGTTCCCGTGGCTCAATCTCCCAAGAGCTCTACAGTGATTTGCGAGGGCAAAGTTCCAAAGAACGCTCTTTGTGATCATGGCTCATCGTGCGTGCCCACCATGGATGAAGAGCGATGGTCATCTTCCTCTACCAGATAAGCCCTTGGAGTTTCCCGAGGATCAGTCCCTGAAGATGACCGACCTGAGTTCTGTGCAGATCAAGAGGCCTCCAGGTGTGGACACCGTGCGCCAATGGGGACAACAAGTCTTTCCGGAGGGGAAGAAGCAGGGCATGACCTTTGCCCAAGTGTACCAAGAAGATGCTCGCTATCGGGCCCTGATGATGAACCACAGCCATCTCACCTCAGCTTGGGCGCTGAGCTACCAGAACTACGTCAGAGCCAGGTCCAAGGTGGAGTCGGGGCTGATGGCCAACACAAGTTCCGGCAATCAGAAACCAGTGACAAGGGCACCAAAAGTCTCGGAGGGCTCCGATTGGGAGTTGATGATCGACGAGGAGAACCAGGGCAAGAAAACGACCTCAAAGAGAGCAGCCAGCTCTGCTACACTAACTATGATGACAGAAAAGGATCCGGAGAAGGAACAGGAGATCATGACGAAGATCGCCATCCTCCAGAGGGAACTGGCGATGGTGAAGGGCAAGGAAGAAGCTTGAACCTACTCGATTGTGGTCCTGAGGAGGTGCTGTCTGAGAGTTCCGCAAACATCGTCGAGTCTCAACTGAAACAATCCACTCAGATGCTGAACACAAAAACGATTTCCATTCAGCAGGAGTTAGATGCTTTGGTTGTGCAACTCGAGAAAGACTTGGACGTCTTGTCAGCATCTGCTTGGGAGTTTCCGAAAAAGCTCAGCAAGTCTCCAAAACAGCCTGGGAGAAAAAGTCAACTGGATGTTCTTGAAATCTACTGTGGAGAAAATTCCCGAATAACTGCCATGGCTCAACAAATGGGTTTGAAGGCCAGAAGATTCACAAAGGCTGATGGAGATCTGCGTACAGCTGAAGGACAACGCGTTCTGTGGGAACTCCTGGAACGTGAATGTCCACGTGATGTTTGGATGGCTCCCGAATGCGGCCCATGGGGAAACTTCAGTCGACTGAATTTGTGCCGAAGTTCAACTACATGTCAAAAGGTTCTGGATGCCCGTGAAGAGCAAAGGTTGCACTTAAAATTGTGCGATGAAGTATATAACTACCAAGTTCTGAATGGGAACCATTTTCACATGGAGCAGCCTCAGGGTTCTATTGCTTTTGATCAACCAGAAATGGAAAACGTAGCAAAGGGTACCCTCAAAAGTGTTTTTGACATGTGTGAAGTGGGGAAGTTGAAGGTTCCTATGGGGAATAATTTTCTCAGAAAAAGAACTCAAGTCAGAACAACTTCACGTGAGCTCCACAATTGTCTGGACGCTCGGTAGGTACTGCAATCAAAGGCACACTCATCAGCCGATTGAAGGCAAAATCAAGTATCTTGGTCGCTGGATCAACTTGTCGGAATATGCAGCTCGGTATTCAAATGGTTTTGCACGAAATGTGGTTTGGTACTTGTTGTGGAGTCGTGATTTTGGTGATTTGCCTGTGGAAATTGCCGAGCTGTGTATTGACGACTGTCAAAAATTCGGAGAGCATGCTGTCCTTGCCGCAGAGGTGAGTGCCCGTCGGAGAAGACTTTCCAAGGAGGAAGTCAAAGTTTCTTCTCCTGCCGTTCCATCAGAAGACGGGTCACGCAAGTTGTCTTGGGAGAAACGTTGGAAAGAAATCTTCAAGAGCATAGAGCAGCGTGCCCCTAGAGCAGGAACTATTGTTTTGGAACCTGCTGAGAAACTTTTCCAAGAAATCAAGTCAACTCTCACCACTATCGATGTCAAGGCAGCTGAGGTATGTAGAGGTACTGATCGATTTCGTTTGCCAAAGACTCAAATTTCAGAGTCGGAAATTCCACTGCGGCACACCATCATTTTGCACCGGCATACTGGAAAAGTAATGGAACTAGGTAGACCCGAAAGTTGGTTGGAGCTTCCCAAAACCCGAAGAACTTTGAAGTCAAAGCCAGCCAAACTGTGTGTGACTGTTTTTGGAACTGTTTGGGGATCCAGTTCCCGGTCTGCAGCTGCTGTGCCAAGTGAGAATCCTCCGACGGCGCCAATGTCCAGTTCCCAAGCCACTTCTTCTTTAGGTTCCCGGAAAAGAGAAGTGCCTGACTCAGAAATGGACGCGGAAAAACGGTTCAAGAAGGATGAGCCAAGTGTTTCCACTTTCTCTGAAAAAGGTTTGGAGGAGAAAGGGGTTGAGGAATATTCTGAGGGTTTTCCCCCGAAGAAAGTAGCTGTTCATGGGCCCCATTTTCTTGGTTTGGAAAAAGATGAAAGAGAGTGGATTCGCAGGGTTCATCACCGCATGGGACACCCTGATCCAGTCCGTTTCTGCAAGTTCCTCAAAGACACCCATGCCGATCCAAATATTGTAGCTGGTGCGTTTGATTTCCAGTGTGATGCTTGTTGCGAAGACAGCAAGGGTTACGCTTTGTCAAGACCAGCTGCCATCCACTCCAACTTAAATTTCAATGATGTGGTCGGACTAGATGTAGCCTACTGGAAAAATGATGTTGGTAAGGAGTTTGCTTTTCTTCATTTTCTGGATGAGGGGACTTTGTTTCATTTGGGGAGTCACTGTTTTGAAGATGCTGATTCTCAGATTCGGTGTTTTGAGACTGTTTGGTTGTCATGGGCAGGACCCCCCAAAGAGGTATACCTAGATCCGGCTAAAGAATATACTGGAGATCGGTGGATAGCAAGGATGCAGGAAGAAGATATCAAACTAAAAATGTCGGCAACTGATTCGCATTGGCAATTGGGACGGGTGGAAGCACATGGTTCTGTTGTGAAGCGGATGTTGGATCGTATGAACTCTGAGAAACCAATTTTGAACAATGAGGGTTTTCAAGCTGCTTTGAGACAAGTCTTCAATGCCAAAAATGCGATGTCTCGTGTACAGGGTTTCACACCTCAACAGGCTGTGTTAGGTGTAGCCCGCCGTCTTCCAGCATCTGTTTGCTCCGACCGGGACATTGCCAGCCATGCACTTGCTGAAAGTGAGTGCACGGAGGGCGAAAAATTTCGTGAGGCACTGCGCCTTCGAACCTCAGCCCGTCAGGCATTTGTTGAGGCTGACAATTGCAGTAGCCTGCGTAGGGCATTGCTGCGTCGAAGTCGCCCCCTTAGAGACCCTTATGAAATTGGGGATTGGGTTTTGTACTGGAAGAAGAAGGGGGGTAACATGAGACGGGAAAGGGGACGTTGGCACGGACCTGCAAGAGTAGCCATGGTTGAAGGTCACAAAGTGGTTTGGGTCACTCATGCAAATAAATTAATTCGGGCAAGTCCCGAGCAATTGCGGCCAGCATCGTTCCGGGAATGGAAGTCTGTCCAAGATTTGGATGAAACTAAGGTAACCCCGGCAGAATGGTTGAAGAAGGCAGGTCATCAGGATTTCTTTGATTTGGGGGATGATTTACCTGATCTGTCTGATGTGGTTGAGGGGAATCCTTTGGTTGGTGATACCACTGAAAGCGACAGCCTTCCGGAACCAGAGCAGGCGCCCAGTGTTCACTCCGGTGATGTGGAAGCGGTACCCTCGTCTGAAACTGGGGGTCTACATGTCCCGGTACCGGAACCCTTAGATGGAGAGCTTTCAGAGGGGAATGCAATGTTTGGGGATTGCATTGTTTGTCCTAGCGGTTTGGGGAATCAGGTTTGGGAGATTGGCATTACCCCTGGCCCTGAATTTGGGAATTCCGGTAGCCCTGAATGGGATGTGTTTTCACATACAACCTGTACCTGGGATGAAGTTGCTCTTTTGGCCACTGAACAAAGAAAGAAACGGGTAGAAGTCAAATTGAAGGATTTGGGTGAACATGAACAGAGATTGTTTGCAGCGGCAAAAGACAAAGAGATCCGTGCATGGCTTCACCACAAGACTGTCAGGAAAGTGAGCAAGGGTAAAATCCCTGAAAATGCTCTGATGCGATGTCGATGGATTTTAAACTGGAAACCTGCGTCAGGAAATGAAAATTCAGGTGAACTTTCCAGCCAAGGCTTGAAAGCCAAAGCTCGTTTGGTCATCATCGGTTTTGAGGACCCTGGCATTGATGTAGTGACAAACGATGCACCTACTTGGACAAAGGATGGCAGGATGACTGTTTTACAAAATGTGGCCAGTCATGGCTGGGAACTGTTGTCATTCGACATTAGCACGGCATTTTTACATGGAAAAGGAGATGGACGCACCTTGGGAATCCATGCACCCCCTGAACTCAGGGAAGCCCTTCAGATGCCTGGCACTGACCAGTGTGCACTGGACGGTGGAGCATATGGTAGGATTGATGCTCCGTATCTTTGGTTTTGTGAATTCAGGGATGAATTGATTCGTCAAGGGTGCATGCAGTGTCCACTGGATCCCTGCGTTTTCGGTCTGTACCCAAGTGGCCAATTGAAATGTCATGGCTGTTTGGGCATCCACGTAGATGATGGCATTGCTGGTGGAGACCATGTTTTTCACAACATGCTGAAAAGAGTGGAAGCCCGGTTCAAATTTGGAGCTTTTGAGAGACGGGAATTCAAGTATACTGGGATAAACTTCAAGCAGTGGGCTGATTTCAGCATTGAGTATGATCAGATTTCATATGTGGAGAAGATTTCCCCTGTAACCATCGACAAAAGTCGTCGATCCCAGTTGACGTCTTCCCTTAATGAGACCGAGAAAAGCTCACTGAGGAGCATTGTCGGTGCCTTACAATACGCGGCTGTCCACACCAGGCCAGATTTGGCAGCAAAGGTGGGTGAGCTACAGTCGGCCATCAACCGTGCCACGATTTCCGATCTGGTCACTGCCAATAAGGTGCTTGCAGAAGCAAAACAAAATCCTGTTTCATTGATGGTTTTGCCAATTTCTCCTGAGAGTGTTACTTTTTGTGCTTTCTCCGATGCCTCTTTTATGTCAAACAAGCAACACAGTGCTCATCAGGGTACCCTCATTTTTGTGACAACACCAGAGTTGTTAGAAAACAAAAGATCAATTGTAGCACCAGTGGCTTGGACAAGCAAGCGTGTTCCACGGGTAGTCAGGAGTACATTAGGTGCTGAGGCGGCTGCCCTCAGTAACACCGTTGACCGACTCATGTGGCTGAGAATTCTCTGGGCTTGGACACGAAATCCAAAATGTGAGTGGACACATCCAGAGAAGTTGCTACCTCAAGAAACACCTGCAGCTTTGGTTACCGATTGTAAGTCAGCATATGACCTTCTGACACGAACGGCACTGCCACAATGTGCTGAGCACCGTACAACAATAGAGTGTTTGCTGATTCGAGAGAGGTTGCGGGAAAACTGCAAGGTGAGATGGGTAGCATCACAAGCCATGTTGGCTGACTGCCTTACGAAAACCATGGACTCACAGGTGCTTCGACAGTGTTTGAGTTCGGGGAAGTATGTGTTGAGAGATGAGGGGCATGTTTTGAGGGATCGTTTGGATAGGCGCCAGCGTTTGGAATGGGTCAAACAACAAGCATCTGGAGAAGCTCCGGGAAAACCAAGTTCTTGTAACATAGCTTCAGCGGATACCATATCTTCGTCAATGCATGACTTTTGGAAATGGGGTACTAATGGTGAGCTGATTCGTGTGCATCGAAAACCCAGAGAGAACAAATTCACGCCTATTGGGGTTGATTGTCCAGTTGACATCCGTGATCTTAGTTCCCGTAGAATCACTTGCTTGAAACTCCCAAGTTGTCTTTCCATATTGGTCCCTTTTCTATTGCCGTCCACCGCAGTGGAGGGAGGGTTCGAGGAGTCACCAGGCGCGGCGGAACAAAAGAGACCTAGCACAGGGATCCTTGGCGGAATCACAGGACTTCATTTGGCATCTCAAAGGGCTTGAGATTCACAATACATGTATACATGTATACATGTATACATGTATGCCATGTATGTATGTATGTATGTATGTATGCATGTATGCATGTATGCATGTATGCATGTATGCATGTATGCATGTATGCATGTATGCATGTATGCATGTATGCATGTATGCATGTATGCATGTATGCATGTATGCATGTATGCATGTATGCATGTATGCATGTATGTATGGATGTATATGGATGTATGGATGTATGGATGTATGGATGTATGTATGGATGTATGATGATGTATGGATGTATGGATGTATGGATGTATGGATGTATGGATGTATGGATGTATGGATGTATGGATGTATGGATGTATGGATGTATGGATGTATGGATGTATGGATGTATGGATGTATGGATGTATGGATGTATGGATGTATGGATGGATGGATGCATGCATGCATGCATGCATGCATGTATGTATGTATGTGTACACAAATTGTATATCATACATCATATACATATATATAATATATATATATATACATACACCTCCTTGTTCCTTGTCAAGAAAAAACGAACTTCTGTGGATCATTCCCATTGAATCGCTTGGCTCACAAAAAAAGCTTCTGAAAAAACACTGCCAGGCCGCGCGATACTGGAAATGCTCTTTAGCACTCCGATCACCATGGCACAGTTCTCCTGAGAATCCCGATTCATCACCATCAGTAAACTGGTCTGATTAGGCAAGATAGTTCCAGATGGTGCCCCATAGCGAAGTTTGTTTATAATTCCAATATCTAGGGTTTATGGTATATCTATAGTCAATTGTGGTTTATATAAACCAACTTATCACTGGAGGGGTACCACCTTCTATTCTAGCAATTGGCCAGTCAGTTGTAAAATCCCCAAAAATCACCACAAATCTGGTAGGAATTCCGAAACTGGTGCACTATCGGGGCCAAGCTTCGAGTGCAAACAAGAATTGCCCAGATCTCCCATGGTTTTCTGAAAAATTACCCTCTGGTAAACGTTTACAAAAAAGTATGGACAGTTTCACCATACTATTTCTATGGGTAAATCCACGAAATTTCGACTGGGCAATTTTCGCTATTTTGACATCACCAGAGGCGAATCGTTTGATGCTTAAATCGCCGATATGTTGCATATCCCCAGTAGTCCTATTTGATCCTCGAATTCAAAACTCAAAGCCATTGCAAGTTATTTTTTAGCCAACGAAAACCAATGAAAACCCACTCAAAAGCCACTTAAAACTTCTTTAAACCGATTTTAAACCCATAAAAACTTACTAAAAGCAACTAAAATCCATTCAAACCTCCTAGAACCCATTAAAAACCATTAAAACCACATTAAACGCCCATTAAAACCACATTAAAGACCTATTGAAACCCAGAACGCTTTGTCCAAGTTCGCCTCATCCGCCACTTCATTGGCGATCAAATTCGTCACCAGAGCCATCATCGCCACAGGGACTTCTTTGGCGATCGGTTCGCCCAAGTAGAAATAGGGATCCTTGGTGGATTAATGGTGATTTTATGGTGATTTTGTGGTGATTTTATGGTGATTTTATGGTGATTTTATGGTGATTACCCTTCCATAATGGAATTTTGGTGGTGAATTAATGGTCATTTGATGGTGATTACCCTTCAGTAATTTGTTGCATAGCTATGGACCGAGGATTAAAAGGGTGAGTTTCCATAGCGAACTGTTAAATTACCAGAGGGTAGTGGTGATTTAAGCAACAATGGACTATAGCGGGAATATGCTGGGAATATCATCGGAATAATGGTGGATATTTGGAATGTACCCAACTAAATGGTGGTTTTATGGCCAGTTAATTAATAGGGATTTAAGCAACAAAAATGTGGAATACACCTAATCAATGTAACCAACAAATAATGGTTAATTGATCGTCAATGGATGCTTCATAGATCAATGGGATTTTAGGGGATCCTAGGAAATCCTCGAACTGAATGGATGTGTTAGTGGGAAAACCAAGGATTTTCCATTGCCATGTTTTGTTGACGGAGGGACTTACATTATTAAACCAACCAAGACAGTGATTCATTTTACCCCAGACCCTCTGGTAAACGTTTACATAACTATGGAAAATCACCATGCTATCAATTGGTAAATCCACTATATAAATGGACCATTTTCAATAGCTTTTTGTATGTTTACCAGAGGGTATCTGTCATACATCATATATTTCCCATAAATCGCCATAGTTCCCATATATTTCCCATATATTTCCCATTAAAACCCATAAATTACCAGAGGGTAAGTGGAACTGACCCTGATACTGGATGCTTTATGGCCAGGGCCGATCTTAACTGCACCACACCATGGCCAGGATCTGCTACTGAGGATGTGCAACTCCCTTAGGGCTACCCCTGAGATTGGACAAAGACACACCCGGGTTCACCAGGGAACCGTGTATGTGTACATATGTATATATATATATATATTTTTTTTTACAAATATTAATATCATGTATATATCCTATATATATATATATATTATATATAGACATATATACCCACCATAAATCCAATCCTTCATCCACTTTCTCAACCACCTTAGGACCTTGGCTACTCTTCACCCCCAATCTTCCCAAAAAAAGGCCCGAAGGATCTCTGAGGATATCGAAGATGGTCAGGAACTGCGGGATGGCATCGAAGAATGCAATGGCCAGCGAAGCGCCCAAGATGATCTTGCGCCAAGAAACGTTCAGGAAATACTTCCTGCAAAAGAAATGATTACTGAAAATGAAGTAGTATAATATTTGACTAGTTGATTTGCAAAATACTTCCTGAGTTTATAGAAAAATGGCCTGATATGATATCATCATGGCCATCATGGATTACTTCCTGGCAGATGGATGAATCATGGCTATTCTAAGGACCATGAAAAATGAGGATTTGAATCATGGGACTTGTCCTGGGTTGAACCTAGGAGTCAACCTGTCCATGGGATACCAACTATGGGCTATGATAGACGATATCAATAGATTCAACTAGCAAACAATATGAAATAGTTCAGGAAACATGTCCAAAAAATACTGCTGGGAATAGAAAATATGGAAAAAATAGTATTCTTGGCTTTACTATTTACACGTCCAATTCTATGTTCTCAAACATCTGCATTGACTTAATTTCACCTACTGATTAATAGCGGATTTACCTATGGACAAATAAAGCCGTGCTTCGTAAGGACATCTCAGATGCCACATCTCGGGGGCTGGCTGTCCACCAGTGGATTTATAAATCTGTCATGAACCAACATGAACCAACTGTTGGTTCATTTTTTTGGGGAAAACCCACATGCTATAGGGAAAAAACCAAATGTTGGTTAATTTTGGGGAAAACCCACATGCTATAGGGAAAAAACCAACTGTTGGTTCATTTTTTGGGGGGACCCACATTCTTTTGTAGAAAAGAAGGGATGGAAACTTCGATGGAAACTTCCGAAGACTTTCCGAGCGTCTGTGTGAGCCATGTTCCAAGCGCCACGAAAATGATCCCCACCAGGCCGGCTAATTGGCTCTGAATAATTTTCACGTTGGCCCATTGGATCGAGACCCAGGTGCCAGCATTGGTTCGGATGCCGAAAATGCTGGAGCTCAGGAAAAGGTAGGTTGCGATGGATGCAAAAGCCCTGCCTTCCATTAAATGGAAACTGGACCTCCAGAATTGTCCTCAGGTAAACGCTTAAAACCCTTAAAACGCTTAAAACCCTCAAAATCCTTAAAACCCTTATTGCCAGCCCTTAAACCCTTCCTGCCGCTGCCCCAAGGCCACATCGCTTAAACATTCTCTTGGCATGCTTCATCCCGCAGCCAACAGGCACCCCAAGGCCACACATCAATGGCTTCTTATGGGCGTCCAAGCCTGCCGTTTGCCAGCCCTTAAACGCTTAAAACCCTTAAAACACTTAAAAACCCTCAAAATCCTTAAAACCCTTATTGCCAGCCCTTAAACCCTTCCTGCCGCTGCCCCAAGGCCACATCGCTTAAACGTTCTCTTGGCATGCTTCATCCCGCAGCCAACAGGCACCCCAAGGCCACACATCAATGGCTTCTTATGGGCGTCCAAGCCTGCCGTTTGCCAGCCCTTAAACGCTTAAAACCCTTAAAACCATTAAAACACTTAAAAACCCTGAAAATCCTGAAAACCCTTATTGCCAGCCCTTAAACCCTTCCTGCCGCTTCCCCAAGGCCACATCGCTTAAACATTCTCTTGGCATGCTTCATCCCGCAGCCAACAGGCACCCCAAGGCCACACATCAATGGCTTCTTATGGGCGTCCAAGCCTGCCGTTTGCCAGCCCTTAAACGCTTAAAACCCTTAAAACCCTTAAAACACTTAAAAACCCTGAAAATCCTGAAAACCCTTATTGCCAGCCCTTAAACCCTTCCTGCCGCTTCCCCAAGGCCACATCGCTTAAACATTCTCTTGGCATGCTTCATCCCGCAGCCAACAGGCACCCCAAGGCCACACATCAATGGCTTCTTATGGGCGTCCAAGCCTGCCGTTTGCCAGCCCTTAAACCCTTCCTGCCGCTGCCCCAAGGCCACATCGCTTAAACATTCTCCTGGCATGCTTCATCCCGCAGCCAACAGGCACCCCAAGGCCACACATCAATGGCTTCTTATGGGCGTCCAAGCCTGCCGTTTGCCAGCCCTTAAACGCTTAAAACCCTTAAAACGCTTAAAAACCTTCAAAATCCTTAAAACCCTTAAAACCATTAAAACGCTGCAAACTGTGCAAAAGCTTCTCGGAACGCCGAACCGCGCAGGCAATAGCGCTGCCCGAGGGCCACATCGCTTAAACATTCTCTTGGCATGCAAAACCTTTAAAACCCTTCAAACCCTGCAAACTGTGCAAAACCTTCTCGGAACGCCGAACCGCGCAGGCAATAGCGCTGCCCCAAGGCCACATCGCTTAAACATTCTCTTGGCATGCTTCATCCTGCAGCCAACAGGCACCCCAAGGCTAACATCAATGGGTTCTTATGGGCGTCCAAGCCTGCCGTTTGCCAGCCCTGAAACGCTTAAAACCTTTAAAACGCTTGAAAACCCTCAAAACCCTTAAAACCCTGCAAACTGCGCAAAACCTTCTCGGAACGCCGAACCGCGCAGGCAATAGCGCTGCCCCAAGGCCACATCGCTTAAACATACTCTTGGCATGCTTCATCCTGCAGCCAACAGGCACCCCAAGGCCACACATCAATGGCTTCTTATGGGCATCCAAGCCTGCCGTTTGCCAGCCCTTAAACGCTTAAAACCCTTAAAACGCTTAAAAAACCTCAAAACCCTTAAAACCCGTAAAACCCTGCAAACTGTGCAAAACCTTCTCGGAACGCCGAACCGTGCAGGCAATAGCGCTGCCCCAAGGCTTAAACATTCTCTTGGCATGCTTCATCCTGCAGCCAACAGGCACCCCAAGGCCACACATCAATGGCTTCTTATGGGCGTCCAAGCCTGCCGTTTGCCAGCCCTTAAACGCTTAAAACCCTTAAACCGCTTAAAAACCCTCAAAACCCTTAAAACCCTTCTTAAAACCCTTAAAACCCTGCAAACTGTGCAAAACCTTCTCGGAACGCCGAACCGCGCAGGCAATAGCGCTGCCCCACGGCCACATCGCCATGCTTGGGATATGATCGTTGATTTTTTTTTTTTACTTCTCCTGTGGTTTTATTTACTGATCCTGCCCTGCCACCCCCACAAAGGGGGGTCGGCGGCGCCAGGGCGCTAGCCCATTCTATAAACCAGAAAAAGAACGCCATTTTGGGGATACGTCCTCAGGCCCAGGCTGCCTCTGAGTTTTTATCACAAGACTAAAAGATGATGTGAAACTACCAAAAAAACCCTGGTTATCAAGCAAAAAAACACAAACGAAACCTCCTCTGAAAGCAGTCCGAGCGTCGCATGGAACCCTTCTGTGCTTTCTTTTCCTCGATTAAAAAGATGCAGCTCACCGATGTCAAGGCTGCAGGGCCCAGGAAGACTGCTACCTCTGGAGGGGTTCACCATCACACATGAGGAGATCATGGGAATTGATGTGACCAGGATGGATTTGCTGTGAAAAACGGGAATCAAAGTGAGACTGGAAATATACTGGGAATAAAATGGGATATCAAGCAACCAACAGTATGATATTTTGGATGTCTCTGAAAATTGAAGATTTACCATCAAGTGAATTATCACAATGTTCATGGGGAAAATGCTGAGTAACCAAAGGATTTTGGGATTCCCAACATTTTCAGGCGGACCCATAGAGAATCTGCATGAATCTGCAAACTGCAATGATCGACTACAGATATACAGTATATACATGAACTGAATCCTACCAGTTACCACTCGATCATGATATAAACCTCTACGAAGGTAATTGGGACCCCTAAATGATGCCAGAAACAGTAGTAACACCAGCGATAGAGGCAGAAAAATAATCGACCTGTTGGATGTACCCCGTCCCGCGGAACATTTGTTGGCAAATGGGTGTTCATCCCCTAGATTTGACAAAAACTCGGAGTAGAACCCCTATGTTCATCTTTCAATCAACCATCATTGATTCATATTTATCAATCACATACCTCCATATTGAACGCTTAAAGAAACCATACCAACCATGGTTAAGCCACCATTGAAACAACCCAACCAACCAGGCTTTTAGCCAGGTTATCCCATGACATTCCCCAAAGATATCCTCAGCCCTACAAGCTGGTGCAGTTCAGTTAATTAGTTGAGTTGCCTTATAAAATTCCAATTTCACTATGTTTTCAACTATAGCAGTATATCTAGAAATTCACTATGTCACTGTGTTTTCAACATTTTTCAACTATAGCAGTATATCTAGAAATATCTAGAAGATAAGCCTATCATAGTTGCCCTATAAAATTCCAGTAGATATCAACACCGGGCATCCCCATGGCGTCCACGGCTTCCGAGGTGCGTATTGTGAGAAGTCCAGCTGGTCCCGTTGGTCGAAGGATCCCGTGAAGAGCTTTCCGTTGAAGCCGAAGGCCGCGAGGAAACTCGCGCAGAAGCGTCCGGAGCACCTGGGGGACATAGATATATTATAAATATATATATACATATAGATATATATATATATACATATAGATATATATATATATAGATAGATAGATAGATAGATATAGATATAGATATAGATATAGATACAGATATAGATATAGATATGTATAGATGTAAATGGATGGATGGATGGATGGATACATAGATACATAGATACATAGATACATAGATACATAGATACATAGATACATAGATACATAGATAATCATAGATAATCATAGATAATCATAGATAATCATAGATAATCATAGATAATCATAGATAATCATAGATAATCATAGATAATCATAGATACATAGATAATCATAGATAATCATAGATAATCATAGATAATCATAGATAATCATAGATAATCATAGATAATCATAGATAATCATAGATAATCATAGATAATCATAGATAATCATAGATAATCATGGATAATCATAGATAATCATAGATAATCATAGATAATCATAGATAATCATAGATAATCATAGATAATCATAGATAATCATAGATAATCATAGATACATAGATAATCATAGATACATAGATAATCATAGATACATAGATACATAGATACATAGATACATAGATAATCATAGATAATCATAGATACATAGATAATCATAGATACATAGATACATACTAGCGAAGGGTTTAAGTCACATCAGTTGGGCAGAAGTCACATCAACCCCATGTAACAGCGAGTTGGAAGAAAGTCACATCAACTGGGCAAAAGTCACATCAAAATATCAAAATCCCAATGGCACACTGGCTTTCAAGGAATGTTGTTGTATCTCCAAAAATGAAGAAAACATTGCGCACACTGAGGTATTCACATATGTTTAAACTATGTTTTCAAAGGATATATTTAGGAATCACCATGGCACACGGCCTCCCAGATCTTTAACTTTGCTTCCTAACAAACATAGATCTCCATGTAATAGCTATGGGCAACATCATCATATCAACAACGTTAAAATCTGAAAACCCAGTGGCACACCGCTGTCAACATCCGCTTCCGCTTGAATGTTTCATAAGTTCTGCCTTCTGTAAACATTCCCTCTCTCTGCTGGTGTCTCCCGCCCGTATCTCCCGCCAGCGCCAAACAAGGCGACCGAGACTGTAATTTTCTTTTTCGGCAAAATGTTTGCACCAGTGGCAGCAGCAGCAGGAGGAGCAGCAGCAGCAGCAGGAGGAGGAGGAAGCAGCAGCAGGAGGAGGAGGAAGCAGCAGCAGCAGCAGGAGGCAGCAGCAGCAGCAGCAGGAGGCAGCAGCAGCAGCAGCAGCAGGCGGAAGCAGCAGCAGCAGCAGCAGGAGGCAGCAGCAGGAGGCAGCAGCAGGAGGCAGCAGCAGGAGGCAGCAGCAGGAGGCAGCAGCAGCAGCAGAAGGAAGCCGCAGCCGCAGCAGCAGCAGGAGGCAGCAGCAACAGCAGCAGGAGGCAGCAGCAACAGCACGGCCCCAAAACAATGAAATCGTCCAATTACTAAACTGTGGTGATGCCAAACTTGAACTTTTTCCAGGCGCACGGTCTCCCGATACAACTTCTACGAGCTGATACGACTTAACGCTAGGGCTAGTAGGGTCAAATAGAATCATGTCAACAAAACATTGCGCACAGCGATGAAAAAGTGTTCGAATCAATAACCTATCAAATAAAGAACTATCAAAATCTATACGAAACACTGCGCGCACGCAGGTGTGATACGACTTCAGGTCGATTGATACGACTTAAGCCTAGTGGTCGTAGATACATAAATACATAGATACATAAATACATGCATACATGTGCTGTATATCTGTGTATATATATAATATGTGTGTGTGCGTGTGTGTCTGCTACTTCTTGAACTATGTTTACTTGGAGATGTGGCCAGTTTGGTATACCAGTTATGATCATGTATAGTATCCCCCAAAACGTATAGAAAAGCAATTCATCAATATTTTACCGTACCAGAATGTGCTTTTCTTTGGGGTGATTTTGGGGGGTACATTGCCAACCATGGGTGTGACCCCTCTACATGCTCTCTATTGATCAACCAGTGGGAATTTGGTGACATGGCTTTCTCCAAAAGGAGGGATATCCCAAGTACTTGAGTACTTGCCATGATCACTTGGCAAGGTCCTGTTAAAAGAAACATGAACCAGACTTCCCTGTGCCAAATCGGATATATTTGACAAGTAAAAAAACTCATGGACCAAAAAAACAGGTTGTTTTTCACCATTTTTACAGCTTCCAACAATTCCAACCCCCAAACCCCCAGGCCGCCATGGCACATGACCATCAACAGCATGGCCTGCGTCTCGCCGCGGCGTTCCTCCGTTTCGCCCTTGGCGATCTGCAACAGCAGCCCATCCCCAGCGGCTTGGGCAATGGCCAGCCCCAGGGTGGCCAGCAGTGAGCAACACATCAGCGGCGCGTAGCTCAGGGCGGCCGAAACGTTACAGGGAGGATCATCCAGCAGGTAGGTGCCATCTGGCAGATGACCTTTGGAGATAGAGGTGACCTGATATGGGGATGATATATAAATATAGAGGTGAGATATAGATATCAGATAGATATCAGATATTATTAGAAAGATTCCCGAGAATCTGATGGATTTCAACATGGCGAAACGGGAACAAGAAACAGCTGAACGCATCAAACAGCTGGATTTCATCTGGACCCAGTGACAGTAGTAGGGCTCTGGCAGTCCCGTACATGCAAGAAGCGACAGCGATGCAAATACAATGCCCCACCCAAGCGACATGTACGGCCTAAGTGGCGCAAAGTTTTCCGAACTCCCATGGGATTTTTCGCAGTTTCAACGCTCATACGTTCAAGTTCATATTCTCAAAAATTAAAAAAATGTTATTTGGGATGTTCTCCGCCATTTTGAGGTACCAAAAACCAGTTGAGGCTCCAGGTTTAAGCTTGGGGAGCCTATCCACTGGTGGTTTTACCCTGAAAAACACCCGTCAGCCGCCAGAATTGATCCCCGGCCTCCGATGAAAGCCCAAAATGGGTTTGGCATCCGACAGTGCACCCAACAGTGCTGAGAAGATCAATGGCGCACCAGTAAGGCTGGTTGCACCATTCACGATGTAGCTAGGGACATTCAAATAACCCGCCTGGGCAAATGTGAAAACCGGCTGGTGCCCCAGTTCGGAATCGCTTGGTTTCTACATAACTCCAATTTCACTGTTGGGTTCTACATCATGGAGGTTATAACAAACATAATTGGGGGACACCACCCGTCAACATTCACCTTGGATTTCGGGGAAAATCGTCCTGAAACTGCCTGGAAGATTGTCTTTAAAGGCTAAACATCAAAATACCCACAGAAAAAATCGATTTTGCAGAGCAAATTTGAAATTCTGATCCAACTCTCCCAAAATTTATCCAAATGGCATCAAATGGCCATCTTTTTTAGGCCCTTCAAAGGGCCCCTTCAAACATCCCGGATGCCAAGCTATCCAAGTTGCAAGGACGCCGGTGCTGATGGCAACCAAGCCGTTGACGACGAAGCCAGAGGACCACATATGGAGCACGAGACCCAGATTACTGGGATCCCGCCACACCGGAACCTGAACCTGGAGAAAAGTGGAGAAACATTGGAGAAAAATCTTGGGGAAAAATGGTGAAGTTGGAGAATTTGTGAAGTTGGAGTTTCACAGAAAATTTGAAACGTGTGAAATCCCAGAAACCATGGTGAGTTCACCACATGAGATACTGATATTTTTTAAGCCCAACAAAGCTGATCCGGACCAAGGTCGGCCAGGCCCAGGATTGCTGGTGAAATGGCGGCGAGAGGTGACAACGGTAGACATTAATTCGTTGTGATCGTCAAAGATGTTTCATGGTTATATGGTGTTATATGTTATTTTCAGTGAAAACACAGCTAATTACAGCTATATACTTGCAGCTATTCATGTTATATGATTGTGATATGATGTTATCTTCATGGCTATGGTAATTATAGCGAAACAATATCAAAAATTTCTGACGTTTGTTGAACATTTGGAGGATCATCTTATCGCAGGTTTTTGTGGTAAACAGTTTGTTGATCGCGCAACCGTCCCCGCGGTAGGCCGACTCCCACTAGGCTGAACTAACCCCAGTTACCCTCTGGTAAACATACAAATAGCTATTGAAAATGGCTATTTATAGTAAGTTTTCCCATTAAGAATGATGATTTTCCATAGTTATGTTAGTTTACCAGAGGGTACTAACCAAGTTGAGGTGATCCTCCATCCCAGTTCGTACAGTAGCTTCGTGTGGCCACAATCGGATTCGTGTGGGTAAAACAAACTCATAAACCATCCCTCGGTCATCACCATTTTGATAGGTGTTTTTTTTAACCATTTCCAGTCATGGGTGGTTTATGACACTGTTTTACCCACATGAATCATCATTAGTCATCCGTCAATCAACCATTAGTCACCATTATTGAATTATTAACTATTATTAACCGTGTTTAACCATTATGAACCATTATCAACAATTATTAATCATTACACCATTAACCATTAGCCAGGTGAATCCCGGTAATTCCCCATGAAATTCCCCAAACCAATGGCCCGAAACCTTCGCACGTGGAGTGATCTCGGAGTCGCAGGATTCGAGATCCGTCTCCAGTGACTCCAGGCCGGAGATCTGGAGCCAAAAACTCTGGGAGAGATTCAGGGGAAAGAAAATGGATAAAGCTATGGATACATATTTATATTTATATATATATAGATATAGATATATATATATATAGACTATGATATAGATATATATATATATGTATATATGTACATATATGTATATTATATATATACACATGTAATTATGTGTATATGTATTTTATATATATATATATGTATTATATTATATAATATAACATGATAGAAGTGGTAAGATGTTTTCTGGCGATTCAACTGGCGAAATTTGGAGATTTGCCCAGCAATAACATGGGAATTCCATTGTGGAGATTTCAGCCCAGCCTTGGCTTGGCTCGGCCTTGAAGTGCCTTCACTGGTGGAAGCTTCAAAACCTTCATCCTCACCAGCGCCGCACGCTTCAACATCCGCTTCAAGCCCTGCCATGGTGACCATGGTGACTGGACAGAGCCAAATATCTGCGGACAAATGTCTGGTACCTGCTGATTTCGGATGTTCTGTGGCCTCAGGGTGTACAGAGGCTTGTTCTGTTGCCACGACTTTGATCCGCAGTCATTTGAGTCGGGTGTTTCACTTTGTTGCATCAGGACGCATGACATGCCAAAGGTTCAACACTTCATTTGGTCCAGCAAAGCAACACAGGGATCTTTAGTGATTAACTATGCTCATATCATTGGATTGGTTTACAGTTTACGGTAAAATTTAGAGGAAACTCCAATACTTAATGGGAAAAACCATGGTTTCCTGCAGATTTTCGCTTAAAGGAAACCAATCCAATGATCACAACCAAGTAGTAACGGAGATGACGATCCTGCTCCAAGCTCCCCTCCAACGGTCCAAGGCGCGACTTCAGCACGTTTTGGAAGATGGTGCCATCGATCCTCAGCCCACGGAGATGTTGAAGTTAATAATCCCCATTGATTTGAAAACTGGGGATATATATATATATAAGCCATTATAAAAAGCCATTGTTAAGCCACATATTACTTAAACAATGGTTTAACTTTTTTTATAAGTAGTATAAACCATTGTTAAGCCACTTATAAACCAACTTATAACTGGGGATAAAAATGTGTTATCTACCATAAACCATTATAATAATTACCCGGCCTGGTAAACGTTTACCAAAAAAAGAACTGGAAAGAAAGATCCACCATTTTCTAGCTGGGAAAATCCACTATTTCGACTGGGTCATTTTCAAGTTCGCGAACTGTAACAAATTACCAGAGGGTAAATCTGAATACAGGAGAGATACCAGGTTTACCCAACCTCTGACATTCGGCAATGTTTTCTACCCCCAAGTTTGCCACCACTTGGCCATTTGGGTCTGCTGGGTACACCGGACACCAGGAACTCGCAATCTTTCAGACACCTGGGTGGCGTTACCAGGGGAAGGATTGGATATGATTGTATCGTGGATAAAGTCTGATATAGTCATGAAATGTTGGATTGGCTTGTAAAGCAACTTATAACAAGGGCAAGTTACTGCAGGGTCCCCCCCAACAGCTAGATTGCTATGCCTACAGAACCCTGAAGGGGCACATCAAGCCACTTTTACATCCCAGGAAATCGGCAAAAAGCCCGCAAAAAAAGGGCAGGTCTCAAAGAAAATTCGTACAAATTATGGTTCAAATTGAGGCCGTGTTTGTTTTCCACAAAAAAAAAAACATGTTTGCGTTGACCATTTGAGACCCACAGCATCTCTCTACCCATTGGGCCACCCCACATGGCAGTGGAACGCCAGAGCTTCTCTGCTTTCAGGGCGGGCTCACCCACCAGCGACCCCGAAGCTGGGCGGCGGAACTCCAAGAACTGGGTTTATGGTGGACATATGTGGGGATTTAACTAACTGATTTAACTAACTGGGGATTAGTATTGGGGGTTAGTCAAATCAGTTAGTTAGTTAATCTTACTGGTGCTTAGTAGGGAATGGATGGGAATGGGGGAATGGGATGATTATCACTAGTGATTGTGGATCATTCCCTCATTCCGTGCTAAGCACCAGTTAGCTAATGGGGGGTGTAAACCAACTAGCAGCTAGCATCACCTTGGATTGGGATTCTTAATCACTGAGATGCACGTCGATGCCCTGCTTGCGCATAGAGTTTTAAACCACGAGTTATGTCCGCAAAATGGTTGTTTAACCATGAGTAAGCAACAAAATCAGGATCGCAATAAAATGGCCATAGAACTGATGTGGAATTGTCCTCTCAAACGGATGTCACGCCAATGGGAAAAAATGGTGATAAACCATCGGATTTGGGGTGCCCTATTTTTTGGAGCCATGTAAACATTGCCACGGAATATGAGGAAATTAACTGAAGTACTCAGATAATTTCATGGAGTTGTACGTCTATGTATAATTATGTATATGTATTGCGAGCACATCAATCGTCACTTTGAGATCTACAATCTATATCAGCAAAAAGAATGGAATAGGGATTGGTTACATTACATTCAGCAACAAACATGGACCAAGATCGAAATCGTTAGACTGACTGGTTTTGTTGAAGGGGTTACAACTAGGGACGCAACCTGCCAGTGGGAAATCCCAAAGAAGTGGATATATGACTCGCAACAAGAACATGATTTTAAAAGAAAGAAAGAAATTGCTCCAAACCAACAAATAACAAATAATGTGCGGTGGAAAACTATCATGAGGAGATACGCCAAAAATAGGTGAACACCAAGCCACAAATGCCACGATTGCCGCTTTCATTCGTTTAAAGCCCCCAAATGATGGGTTTTCTTCGTGAAATCCAGTAGCTAAAATCCATGGTAAATCAGGGGGAAAAAGAAACTATGTTGGTTGTATATGATCATATTCCAACTATATATCTCCATGGCAAATCCCCTACCCCAATCCCCGGTTGGCAACTCCCCTTCCACCCCAAGGCCGTTGCTAGCGGTGTTGTAGAGGTTGCCATAGCTTCCATCCTGGTTTCGAGTTCATCAGTTGCTGTTGGCGAAGCTTGGGTCAAGCTATTTTTGAGTCAGGTTGTAACTTGCTGATTTTACTTTTCTCCAAGACATTGCGATTCAAATCTGCAAGACTACACACCAGAGATCACCTTTTCCAGGATTTCGCAAGATTTCAGCCCCAGCAATGTGAGAAATGCTGGTGGTTTTTCCCAACGCCGCACGGGACAGCGTTCGCCACGAACGTTTCACGGGCTCGGGAACTTCGGAATGTCCGGTGCCTCGGAACCGATCACATGGGGATGCCGCAAGCCGTTGGGTAAACGTGGGTCAACGTGATGTTTAAAATGGGATATGTGTAATTATATATGTTTACACATATCCTGTATGTGATTTATTGCCTCTATTTTATACAGGATATATATGTTTATATCTTAAAATGTCTTAAAACTCCTGAAATGTCCAGAAATTGTTGGAAGAAATCTTTACTGGATTTACTCGATCCTCCTTGAGGTGATAGAAAGGACAGGACTCCAGCAGACCAACAGGGTGTGCATCCGGGTGTTCGTAAGTGGGTCCTATGACATGACATGACATGACATAGCATGACATAACCCGGGTACATCTGATATATATATATATATACCCAGCTACTAAGCTGGGTCCTTGACCACTTACAAATTGGGATGAACCCTCCCAATTTGGCGCTGGGCCTGTCACAGGCAATGGAAAAAAAATGAAAATCTACACTTTAAGTATGGAAAACAATAGAAAATCCCCATAAATGTAAGTTTGAATGGAAAATCTATCTACAAATTAATTGATGATTTTCCAGCACACCGGGTGAAATGACTGCAGCTTTTTACATGGCATGTTGCAGCAGCTCCATGCTAATAATGACTGGAGACCGCACCCTTTGTTGCGTCACTAGTCGCGTGGTTCACTCATCACATCTGCGAGGGTGGCAGCTGGATTCGCCTGCCACACGTCGGCCAACAACTGTCCACATGGTAACACCACGCGAACACTTCGGATGGGCGTCAGCGATTCCCTCGCCACGCGCTGATGAGTCTCCGAAACCAGGTCAGATCGACGTGCCTTGAAGCAAAGAACTTCACAGCCCGCCAGACTCGAGCATCTCACCATCACCGCATCACCTTCAGAAACAAAGTCCATTTGTAAAACACGATCTTGGAATTGAGCGTGCGAAGCTAGAGAAGAATCACAAATATACCGACGACTGGCACTTCTAAAAGTCAAGAGCTCACGCCAAGATTTCAGAGATGGAATGTTGCATTGTCCAACATCATTTCCTCCGCAAGCTACAACACTGCCATCACTGCGAAGAAGTACTGTGTGCCGCCCACCTGCCGAAATTTGGGTGTATGACATTCCTTCATCCAAAGGTGGAATGTTGCATTGTCCGACATGGTTTCTTCCGCGAGCTTCAACTGTCCCATCACTGCGAAGAAGCACCGTGTGAGAAAAGCCCGCAGAGACTTGGGTGTACGAGATTCCTTCATCCAAGGGTGGAATGTTGTATTCTCGAACATGGTTTCCTCCGCAAGCTACAACAGTCCCATTGCTGCGAAGAAGTAGTGTGTGAACAAAGCCTGCAGAAACTTGAGTATATGACATTCCTGCATCCAAAGATGGGATATCGCATTGTTCTACGTCGTTTCCTCCGAAAGCTACAACTTTGCCATCACTGCGAAGAAGTACTGTGTGAACACAGCCTGCAGAAACTTGAGTGTACGACATTCCTTCATGCAAAGGTGGAATGTCGCATTGTCCGGCATCGTTTCTTCCGCAAGCTACAACCGTCCCATCACTGTGAAGAAGCACCGTGTGAGCCAAGCCTGCAGAAACTTGGGTGTACGACATTCCTTCATTCAAAGGTGGAATGTCGCATTGTCCGACATGGTTTCTGCCGTGAGCTACAACAGTCCCATTGCTGCGAAGAAGTACCGTGTGAGAATTGCCTGCAGAAACTTGGGTGTATGACATTCCTTCATCCAAAGGTGGAATGTCGCATTGTCCGAACTCGTTTCCTCCGCAAGCTACAACGGTCCCATCACTGCGAAGAAGTACCGTCTGAGAATTGCCTGCTGAAACCATGCTGGGGGAACTTTGCCTCCGGGAATTTGTCGCAGAATTCGAATCTCTTGGGCATTTGAGGCTCGGACAAGACAGACCCTTAACTCGCATGCACTTCGGTGTACTTATTCCTGGCCCAGAAAATCTGTCATGGCAAGGACCACCATGGACCTACTTACAGAAAGGGTTTCATGCCGACCATCCAAGCATCTGAGTTGTGACTCGTGGATGGGAATATCTTACCATTGCTGACTTAAAGCTGCAAATTGGAGAGTAAAAACTCAACCTGATGACCGGGAAATATCAATGGAATGAAACTGGTTGCCAAATAAGTCTGCCCAAAAAAATAAGTGATCTATCATGATCTATCTGATCAATCCTGATCAATAATGATCAATCATGATCAAGAATGATCTAAAAGTGGGAATTAACCAAGGAAAGTTGCAGTTCAACCATCAAAAAAACAGCCCAGATGTGAACCGCAGCACTGCACCACCCAAACGTAACATGGAACCTGAAACAGAATGTCTCCAAAATGTTTTGATTTCTGAATATGGCCCAGCTGTCCAACTGTCCAACTGTTAGTTTTCATTTAGAATTGTGGGGGTGCAAGTATAACAACCTTCCAGTTGCATGCGTACACACCAAAGCTGTACCTTCCTTTCTATTCCATGACCTAAATATATTATAGCTGACAAATGGATTGAATGGATGTTCATCCCAGCAAAATTACAGGACATTTCATCAACACATCCCCATCTCAACTGTCTACATCCGACCCGACAGAAGTTTCGCCCAGCTCTGGGCCATTCTTCGAGAAGGACAAGCTGCCAAGCCCCAGGAACTGTTCACACCTGTCCAACCACCAACCTTCGGTTTACCGAAGGAATATGATAGACACTGAGGAGCTGGGATCCCACATTTTTCTGTGGTGTCTGGCATGTTGTTGGTCAAACTCCGCCACCGCATCTGGTCGAAGCCGTATCTGGTCGTCGATTTTGCCGCACTGTTGCTTGCAACCCGCATACTTTAATTAATGTTCATGGTATATATATATATATAACATTATATAACCATTTGGGATTATTTAAAGTAGCCCCCCATCGTAGCAAAAAAAATCGTGCTTCGGTTGACCCCATCGATCCCGTTGATCCTTGTTCATCCGATCCATTCTGTGAGAAAAGACCCATCGATTTTTGGACAACACATAGGTTTCCTACAGGGTGGGGCCCCCGTTCGATAGCGTTCAGTTGGTTTATTTTTGTGACTGAAAAAACCATGGTTTATGGTAGATATAACGAACTAGTTAATGGGGATTATTTCATGGTTTATAAACCAACATTCACATCACTGGGGGGGCCCATCCTGTAACAATATTAGGGTAATTTCCACAACACATAGATGGATTGGATGAGTCTGATGAATCCCTCGATGTTTTTTTGGAGAGATTTTTGGATTGTTAAGAGCCAATATGTAGGTTTCCTAACAAGATGGGTACCCATGGGTACCTCTAAATCATCCATGTTACAATGTTATGTTCGGATTTTCCATGAAATAAACCATCCAGCGATAAAGGGCTACCCCCATTGATGGAAACCTCCATATTACCTGCTTAAAAATCCAGTCCAGTAGGACTAACACACTCTAGGTGGATTATTTCAGCAAGAAAACCAGGAATTTTCATAGATTACTATATATCCATGGATGGGCAAAATACCAAAGTGGGATGGTACTAAAACTGGCCAACATAAGTAGTTCCAGTCTTTAATAAATTGACCCTCACCTTCGGATATATTCATGCACTATACACATATACGTATGGGTAGATATAAGAACAAGTATTAAGATCTGCAGATTAAAATCTGCATGTTTGGATCAAATCGCCAATGCTGCTTAACATCTACATACCGTGTGCTTCATTTACCGCAAAACTCAGCCTCTATCTTGCAACAAGTGGCCTTGCAATTTGTAAGTTGGTGTAATACTGTAAAACCCCATCCAACTCTGGATATGATAATTATATCAATTATATCCACCATAGATCATCATCCATCATACCCTCTGATTGTTTGATCATCATACCCTCTGGAGATCATCATCCATCTGGTTGTTACCCTCTGGTAATTTAACATAGCTATTGAAAATGGCCATAGAAATAGTGGATTTTCCCATAACAAATAGTGATTTTCTATAGCTATGTTAAATTACCAGAGGGTAACTGATGGTTATTTCATTTTGTAGAGGTATATCATCATACCATCTGGATTATTTGATCATCATTTGCCATAGTCCATCATCCATCATACCATCTGGTTGTTAGTTCCTGTGATTTTCGCATAGATCATCCATCATAGATCATCCATCATCATACCCTCTGATTATTTGATCATCATCCATGTGATTTTCTATAGCTATGTTAAATTACCAGAGGGTAGTTCCTGTGATTTTGGCATACCTCTGCTGGTGCCAAGGTGCCATGACGCCATCGCGCGGGGTCAAGCCATAGGTCACCAAGGCGCCAAGTGCCGAGGCTGCTCCTTGGGTGCCGGTGTGGACGGCAACCAAAAATATGGTGGAGATACCAAGAAAAGCCATGGAAAAGCAACATCTTTTTTTTGAATTTGGATGATTTTAGATGATTTTGGATGATTTTGGATGATTTTAGATGATTTCAGCACATTTGAAGAGCACACATGCCTGGTTTTCACCAGAAAACGCGGGAATTCAACCAAAGTAGCTTTGGTGAAACATGATCTAGAGAACAAACATCTGGGTCTTGATACTGCAGATACAATCAAAATCACCAAAACGACAAGGAGTTGAACTGCAGCTTTCAAGTCTCGATTTGTCGAAATAGGAGGATGTCAACCATCGAAAATAAAAAGGATTGAACAGGTTTAACGGGTCTAACCAGCAAAATTTGGGATTTCAACCCACCGAGTGGGAAGTTAATTCTTGGTGACAAGGGCAACGTCTGCCATTCCAAACAAGGTGAAACCCGTCAAAAGCGAGACATCACGCAGCATCGCGGCTAGAATAGCGGGGTTATGTATATTGGAATATTGGTCAGAATTCAAGGCACCCCAACCCGCAGGTTGAGTCTTTTCCTAAAAGTTGGAGCCTGAGATTCTCAGAGGCTCAAGTTTTTAGAAACATCACTGTGCCATTGAAAACCAGATCGCATCTTCTTCGAAACATGCGAGATATCTGCCAAGATACCACAGGCCAGGTACACTGCAGGCATACCTTCCCATTTTTGCGGGTGCATGTTCAAAAGGCCATTTTTTGATACCCTCTAAACATACAAAAAACTATGGAAAATCACCATTTTTAATGGGTAAATCACCGATAAATGGGCATTTTCAATAGCAAACTGTTAGTTTACCAGAGGGTATCTCTTCTCCTGAAATATCACCACATCATCTCCCCTTCAGCAAACAAACATAGCTGGAAGGATAAAATGCCATGATGACGAGCAAAAAATGACTACTTCTGCCTATGTTTGACTGGTGCGTTGCGATCGGTGGTTTGGAATTGCCACCATATTACCCAGAATTCTTCATGGTAAAATCCATGGTAAAATGGTCACTCTGCCCCCCTTCGGAAAAGCTTCATGTTTCCATATGTTTCCATAGCCATTTTAACCCCACTTTTGTTGATTCAGTCTCCAGTTGGTCCTTAAATCTCCCATCAATTGCTGGTTCCAACTCCCCAAACCCCCAAGCCCCGGTTCGGCACCGCAGTAGCGTTGCAGCAGCGGAAAGGCCGCGGTGCCCACGCAGGCGCCCAGCTTGCCACAGGCGGCGGAGACGCCGTGGCAGGTGGCACGGCAGCAGGTGGGGAAGCATTCGGCCGAGAGGATGTAGGTGGTGAGGTTCGGGCCGCTGTTCAACAGGAAGAACCTGGTGATGGGCATGTTTGGAAGCTTGGGGAATGTTTCGGATTTGAGGATTTTTTGGGAGAACTGATCGCCTTGCGTAGAGATGAACTTTTCGGATTTTAAGATGTTTTTGTTGCTATTCACCAAGAAGAATCAGATGGGATGGGTGACATGCCTTCTTGTTGTAGAGTCGAACTTTAGATATGTTGATGGAGCTGTTTGGGCTGTTCACCAAGAAGCAGCTAGATTCGCTAGATTCTTTGAGATACTGTGGATGGTTGCGAAATCCTGCACCAGTTGATAGGTGGTAAACATCCCATTTTTCATAGGCTTTCAACCATCCTTTTGGTGGTGCAGGATTTCTTCCCTCCACTGAAGAAAGGATTTTTTTTGGAGGGTGAAAGACCGCCGGATGAACCTGGAGGGGTTCTGGACAAACTTGTTGGCCCAACTCTTCTGGACAAAAATACCCTCCGGTAATTCGTCATATCATGAAAATCCTCCAGCAATTCGATGATTTTACCCTGGAGCTGATGACACCCATTCAGCAATAGTTCGAGGATTTTCCCAGTAAACCTCCATTTTTATGGTTTTCCCATGACTTTTCCCATTGAAACCTCCATTTATAGCTGAATTTCCCATGATTTTCCCACGATTTTCCCATGATTTTCCCATGGCCCAGCAACACCAGGCCCATGATCATCAGCAGAGAGCTGGCTGAAGGATTCGGCTGCAGCTGGGTGAAAACACTCACCTTGGAAAGCCCAAAAAATTCGTGGAGGACCTGGGGAAAACCTGGGGAAAACCCTGGGGAAATCTGCAAAAATGTGGGGAAAACCTGCGGAAAACCTTGGAAGGGTGAACTGGGAGTATCTTCCCAGGTCAAAATGGTGGATTTTTCGGCAAGGAAAAGGTGGATTGACCGACAGAAACTCAGATTTGAGCAACTAAAACAGGGATTTACAGAACAGAAATTCGGATCCAACAAAAAGGCAATGCCATAAATCATCCCCAGTTGGACAAAAAAAACACAGTAGGTGGCTATTTATAAGGTGTATAACCCCAGTTGTAGTCCCAAGTGCTCAGTTGTTTCACTCCAAGGCCCCCCTTTTTTGGTCGCTAAGGAACTCCCAAGAAGATGGCAGAGAGGGCCAGGAAGCCATAGAACTGCATGTAGAAACCTGGGTGCCACCAGGCCGTCACGTCTTGGGATGGAATAACCCCAGGTGTGATAGAACAAACTTGGTGTTTTTGCTGTGCCATGGTCAAAACTTGGTGTATGAGGTATGGTCATCTATCCCATACTGGGATTCATTAGGCTATTATACATCCCCATTGATAGAGTGATGACCATCCTCAATAGGCGTAATTTGCCCAAGTTTTGACCGTGGTACGTGTGTGTTTGGAACCACGAAACAGCTTAGGTAAGAGAATGGGTAAACGGTTAAACTATTGAGTGCATGATTTCGTGCTCAAAAGAAATTCTACAAATTTAGCTTCAGCATGGAGCCACACCTTCTCCCTTTTTCTCTGCAGACTCTGAAACCGTTGTGGATTTGGGTATTCTCTTTTCTGAGACAAATCTACCCTGGTAACTGAAATCTAAGGCCATACCCAAGAATTGCCTGTGAATATGCCCATTTTTGGCTGGATCTCCCCATTTAATCATTTTCATCTCTCAAACTTGATATTTTTTCAGCACCAGCATTTAAACCAACATCCCATGTCCAGCGACGGCTGGTGGAGCGGATCAGCAGAAAGCCAGCTGCAAAGCCCGCGATGGCAAAGGCGCTCCTCGCCGCAACGTTCTCCACGTGTTGAATGGGAAATCGACAACCAATCAATGGAAGGTCAAGGGGGTGGTGGGATGTAATATAGGGATATAATATGATATCACATGGAAATCAATGGGAAATCAACAACAAATCAATGGGAATGTCGGTGGTGGGATGTAATATAGGGATATAATTGATATAATATTGAGATTTAATCTAGTGATATGGTGGGATAGAATGGGATATTACTTTGACATAACCTACAGTGTGATTTGGGGGTCCGGATAACCGCATCTATGAGAAGTCTTACTGTTGATTCTCGTTTTCCAAAGGCTACTGTAGTCGGAGTTACACATATCTACGGGGATTCAACGAACAAAACTGAGAATCAACAGATTCTTAGGGTGTGGAATTCAAACTTATATAGACAGCACAAACTCTCAAAGAATAAATGTGGTAAACCCAATAATCTGGCAAACCCAATCATAAAACATCCCAAAGTTTTTTTTCTTGTTGAGTATACGATGACATTATTTATGACCCTCAGTCATGTTTGAGAATTGGGAGGAACATGTAGTTATTATCAGCATTTTGATTCATTATGTTTGTCAACTATTTATGCGTGTCAATCATTGTCCATGTGGTAAACCCAACTGATGGCCGTTAATTCACCTGCAAATCTCCACAGATGGCACCCACACAAAGCACGGATTGATGACAGTGTGGGATCCTCCTAAAAATAAGTGAGGTAAACCAATGAAAATAGTGAACACCTTTAGTGAAAATCAGGATACCTCCAAAAAAATGATGTTTCTTCACCATGTGATAATAGGGATACAGTAACTTGTAACCCATGAGAAATGATGAAATTAGTCATGAGGGCATATACTTTGTCTTTACTTCTTGATTTCCAGAAAAAATTGGAGCCAAGTTGCGTGAGGCTTGCGAACAATGCCTGATCCCAGACCTCAACTCGTGCGCTGTTCACATCGAAATAACTGGTACTTGTTTTACCAATGCAACTGTTTGATGGTGATTCATGTTGTTTCATGTTGTTTGATGAAACAGATCATGTCATTAGTTTCATTAGTTCTTGATCCATTCATGAACATTCATGAACTGTTATTACTTGTTTTTTAATGAACATTCATCTGGGCAAATTAAAAAAAAAAAACACTCACCTGAATTACTGTAAGGCCATTTATTTGGGGATGATTTCCCATATATAACCCATGATTCCAGTGATGTTTTTGTTCATCCCCTCCGAACCAAAGAATGGCCGAAAATTGACCCATCCCCATCCTGATCACCAGGACGGGACCCAACTTCGATGCGAAAGCCAAGATGTGGCTGAGAAAACACGTTAAAAAAAGGCATGGAGACGGAGACTCACAACTTAAAAAGGATGTGAATATATGATAATATATGATAATATATGTTTAAGACAGGTTAGGATATGTAAAGATGTGCTAAGATATGTTTAAGATCTGTTAGTTTAATGTTTAATCCAGCCCACCTGGTCAGCCGCGGCAGTGCTGTGAATCGCCGCCACGAAAATGCTGCTCTTGAAGGAGCCCAAGCTGTACATGAACCTGGCAGCAGCAACCATTCTAAAGGGATCCTAGATGCTAGATGTGGAATATATCAACAAAAAATGGGGAATATATCAACCATTCTATTAGATGTGGAATATATCAACAAAAAATGGAGAATGATGTGATGATTCAACCATAAATTTATCAAATGTTCCACATAATATCATACAATCCTATTTTAGAGGATTAAATGATCCATCCATTTATGGGGATGTCATGGGGAATTGATCAACAATAAATTTGAATGGGGACAGAATGAATGGTAAATACATGGGAAAAATGGGTGGATTTTAACCCAAAAATCCATGGGAAAACGATGGTGAAACTATAATCTTTGGGTTTTGTCTCAAAATTCTCGGGGGAAAATTATCCCAATTTATGGCAAGTTTATATAATTAATTGGGAAATGACAATTGACCATTGGATTTTGAGTCATGTGACATAACTTGCTGCAGCTCAAGTAGCAGATTCATCAGCAGCCAAGCACTGGAGGTTCCGAGCAGTAGATGCCAATATGAGCCGAGCGTTTCCAGCACCTTCTGCCCGTGACTTTGTTCCAAGCGCACCTGAAGGGCTGGAAGGGCTGGAAGGGCTGGGGCTAGGGAAATTGCATGATACTGGAGGTATACAAGACCAAACGGAGATCGAATGGTGATATAATGACTATAATGGAGATATCTTGGGGATATTATGGGAATATGATCAACCCATATTAGATATGATGATATGATATGTTTGAACATGCCTTGTACTGTATACCCCTGTCATGGCCATGTCAATGGCCACAAAATGAGGATCTACCGGATTCAAGGGACCCATTCTCCACATTGTTGAGGCTTAAATCTCCAGCTATCACATGATTGGCACCATTTACCATCCAAACAAAATACACCAGTGGCATTCAACTCGGGTCTCCGAATTTGTCTTTTTCACATACCGTGACGTTTTTGGCAGTTGCCCATTTTTTAGTCCCCATCAAAAATCCCTATACTGGTGCTAGTCAGTAGGGAAATTTGCGGGAATGATCCACTGATATCCACTGATATCCACTGATATCCACTGATATCCACTGATATCCACTGATATCCACTGATATCCACTGATATCCACTGATATCCACTGATATCCACTGATATCCACTGATATCCGCTGATATCCGCTGATATCCGCTGATATCCGCTGATATCCGCTGATATCCGCTGATATCCGCTGATATCCGCTGTGATACCGCTGATACCCACTGATACCCACTGATACCCACTGATACCCACTGATACCCACTGATACCCACTGACATCCACTGATACCCAATGATACCCACTGATACCCAATGATACCCACTGATAACCAACGATATCCACTGTTACCCACTGATCCACTGATGATATACCACTGATAATATCCACTGATATCCAATATAATTCCACTGATATCCACTGATATCCACTGATATCCGCTGATATCCGCTGATATCCGCTGATATCCGCTGATATCCGCTGATATCCGCTGATATCCGCTGATATCCGCTGATACCCACTGATACCCACTGATACCCACTGATACCCACTGATACCCACTGATACCCACTGATACCCACTGATACCCACTGATACCCACTGATACCCACTGATACCCACTGATACCCACTGATATCCACTGATATCCACTGATACCCACTGATATCCACTGATATCCACTGATATCCACTGATATCCACTGATATCCACTGATATCCACTGATATCCACTGATATCCACTGATATCCACTGATATCCACTGATATCCACTGCTATCCACTGATATCCACTGATATCCACTGCTATCCACTGCTATCCACTGCTATCCACTGCTATCCACTGCTATCCACTGCTATCCACTGCTATCCACTGCTATCCACTGCTATCCACTGCTATCCACTGATATCCACTGATATCCACTGATATCCACTGATATCCACTGATATCCACTGATATCCACTGATATCCACTGATATCCACTGATATCCACTGATATCCACTGATATCCACTGATATCCACTGATATCCACTGATATCCCCTGATATCCACTGATATCCACTGATATCCACTGATATCCACTGATATCCACTGATATCCACTGATATCCACTGATATCCACTGATATCCACTGATATCCACTGATATCCACTGATATCCACTGATATCCACTGATATCCACTGATATCCACTGATATCCACTGATATCCACTGGCTAACTATCAATTTCATCCCAGCAACCCCATTCCCAACCCCATTCCCAACCCATCCCGCCTTGGATCGCTGGGACTCCTGGAAGGCCTCCGATTCCGTGAGCTGCCAACGGAGGCCTAACCGGCGATTTGACGTTTTTCCCACGGGTTTTTTCTGGGGCGGATGGAAGAAGTTCTTCCTTCAATTCCGGGATGGTGGTTTGGAACATTTCTTTATGTTTCCATATTATATTGGGAAAAATCATCCCAGATGGAACCAATACTTATAAATCTAAAATGTGTTTTTTTAGTTTTAACCCAACCAAAATTTGCTTGAACCATTGGTTGAAGCCACGAAAAGTTGGATTATACATGGACCATGTCTTCCAACCCCGATTTGGCAGGGTCTATGGGGAAATGGCAGGACTCAAACCTGGCAGGAACCTCTGGTAATTCTCCAAATGGGGGGAAAAATCGATAGATTCGGAGATCTTTGTGGATTATATTCCATTGCCATGTTGCCAGATGTTGCCAGTGTAAAGTATATAGTTTTTTTTGTTTCTTCTAAACGGTCAGGTATATCCAGGCCAATCTTCCTTCCTTTATCGCATCAAAATTTCTGGAGTCGGTTGAATCCCGTGTCAACATCTGTCAATCTCCTAATGGTTGAGGGCGCTACCCCAACACGTCAACCCCACCAATTAAACCAACCAAAGGTTCATCAGTCCACGGATGATATCATTTCTGTGGGCAAATGTTTGTATGTATCTATTGTATGGATTCACATGTACATATACAATATTATACAATCATATGCATCTTACATGGAAATCTCTCCAGTTCGTAACAAAAAAAACTGAGTACAAAAAGCCATTTCAATCGTTACCAAAAGGGCGCCAATCATCTCTTGGTTAAATCCCCGTTTTGTCGTTGATCCAAAGGGCAAAAGGCGATCGCAGAGGGGATAGCGCCAAAGGCCAACAAAAGCCGCCAGAGGGCCTTTTTTTAACCCCCGATGAGAAGCGAAAAACGGGAGAGGTATCTTCGAAAATGGAGTGATTTACCTGACCAACATAGTGTTTTCACTTCTTTAACCAAGCGAAATTGTGCATTTGTAGAGCTGGATAGTATGGGGTTGTCCAAAAATGGTGGGTTTCTAGACTTCTATCATCTTCTATCGCCACTTATATGGTGAGATACCTTTATACGCCTTTAGAAATCTCACGGTTTTTAGACACCATAGAAGGATAATCACACCTTTAGTTTGGTTAACTTTTTAGATTTATGGTTTTGCCACTTGTAGAACCTGTATACACCCAATCAAATCAATGATCATGCAACGAATCACCATTATTCTCTGGATGATTCAGGGTTCTCGTGACCTATTGATCATAGTTCCTCGCTGCTGATATGTCATCTATGTTGGTTGCATTCCCGTTTGTGATGTTTGTGCTGGCTACATGTAATTACATCTCCATTTGTTTGGCCACATCTTCACATGCCAAGCAGGTCTTTTCTGATGAAATTCTTGTTGGGATTTGGAATCTACCCCCTAACATTGAAGCAGCAAACTATGGTAAGTTTGATTGCCAATGGAACCAACAATCCATTTATAATAGAGCCCCCACTGTTTAATGTCTGAAGATAGTAACACCAACGCTGGCCTACAGAACGTGGAATAATGTCAGTTTACATGTCCCAAAAAACACCGAAGCTCCTGAAAAAGAAAATAACCAATAGGTTCAGGGATGTTTAGCTTCTCAATTTGAAGGGTACCCTCAGGTTTTGTCAAACATAGCTGGCAAACTGTGTATTGATGATTTACCTCGATTTACCTCCTAAAAATGGCGACTTTCTATAGCTAAATGACCATTCTGGTACCCTCTGGTAAACGTTAACAAAAAACTATGGAAAGATCCACCCATTTTTCATGGGAAAATCCACTATTTCTATGGCCATTTTCAATAGCTATGCCCCCATGAAAAAACGGTTTTTCTGCCTCCAGGGAGAGGCCCCCAAAGTGCAGCAGTAACAGTGCCAGCAGCGACGCCAGCAACATGCCAAAGCCCTGCATGCCCACCATTAATGGTGGTTAATGGTGGTTAATGGTGGTTAATGGTGGTTAATGGTGGTTAATGGTGGTTAATGGTGGTTAATGGTGGTTAACAATGGTGAACATATAGGAGTTGGTTCAATGAGCCAATTCTTAGGCATCCCGAGAAAAAAAAATCGCCGGTTTGTTCTGGGTGTGTTTAAAAATTACCATAGACCAACCACCATTGGTTTTCCTCCTGAAAAATACAAAATCCTCACAAAAAAATACTGGGATTGATGCGAGATGACTTGGACTCCAAGTCCAATTTTCCAGCAAATGGCCAGCCAAAAGCATAGGAAATAAAAAGACAAGAATCACAACCATCAACCATCCATCCAATCCATCCTTCATTGTTTTTGTTGAACCATCTCCAAACAACCATCAACCAATATTGGAATCATTTATCAACCACTAGTATCCATTGTTAACCACTATTGTAACCACAATTAACCATCATGAACCATCAGTAACCATAATTAGCCATCCTTAACCACCATTAATCATCATTAACCACTATCAACCACTAATGATAATCATGAATCCTTCATTCTTATGATGCCGAAGATGCCATCCCATCCCAGGCGCCTGCATTGACACCACTAAGGCCATCACTTGGCCACGACCTGAGAAAGTCGCGGCAAGCAGAATCTGAAGCACAAAACCTGGCAAAAGCGTTAAAAAGAAACTGGAGATGGAGATTGGATTGGATTGGAATTTGAAGAATCTGATTGAAATCCAATAGTAAAGAAACTGGAAATCTGAATCTGGATTGGATTTGAAGTTGAAACATTGAATCATCGCAAGCACTGAAAGGTAGCCATGCGAGCTGCTGTTGCCATCCGCGACTGCTTCGGCGGAAACCTTGGATGATGACTCAGCCGCTGGAAGGAAAGGGGCCACTACTAGCAACAGGGACATGAACATAAACCAAGATCAGCAAAACTTGCTTGTCCTAGGGTGTATGTTATCCTTACATACTATGAACTTAAATATGAACATAAACAACATAACTAGCGGCAGGCAGGATAATACCAGATCCATTATGGGCAAAAAAACAGCAACAACGCGGAGGAGGATGAGGAAGTGGACGACAAAGCATCACCTTTACTATTTTCAATACCTAGAACAATCCCAGGACAATGTCTTTCTTGGTTCACCTGCATCATTGAAAAGGCCCCCAAAACGAAGATCTCAGCGGGTTCTTCCCTGGGTGCCGGAGATCGCCAAGCCACCGTTGCAGACAAGGGATATTCTCCCCCCACCCCGCATCCCAGCACGAAGCGACACAGCGCCAGCTGCACCGGCAACGCTGGCAACGCCTGTCCGTCGCCGTCGCCGCAGAGCGCCGAGGCCAGGCAGCTGAAGACGGTCAGCCCCGCGGTGCTGACGAAGGTCCACTTCCGGCCCCAGCGATCAGCCAGGGCGCCGAACAACAGCTGACCAGCCACCACCCCAAACAACATGGTGCTGACCATCAAGGCCTTAGATTTGGCAGAAATCAAGGCTTCACCATAGTGAAGCTCCAGAATCAGCACCACCAGATCGATGGTGAAAAGATCATAGGAATCCGCCAGGAAGCCAACGCAACTGGCCAGCACAGCCAGGCGTTTCAAGGCCTCGCCATCTTTGGGCACCAGGATTCCAACGCAACTGGCCAGCACAGCCAGGCGTTTCAAGGCCTCGCCATCTTTGGGCACCAGAGGCGTCGCCTCATCAGTGCCTTCCTTCATTGTGCCATGGGGAAGCCCAGGGGGAGCACCCCCCAAGGGGCTTGAGCCAGGTGACAGCGGGGCTGATGAGTTGAAAATGTTGAAAATCCCTAGAATCATGGAATGTCTTCACGAAAATCACCCGGATCCGAACCACCGGCGCCCAAAACTGCAGTCCTGGCAGAAAGTACTGTGCCCTTCTAGAGTGCGGAACCTGCAAGTGAGAGCGGTGCAAAAAATATCACACCTGGTGGCTGGCACTCAAAGCTGAAAGGGACTCCAGGATCATGTTTCCAAAGAAGGACTTTCAAGGCACAAAATGATGTACCCTCTGGTTTATTTAACGTGGCAATTGGACAGTCCTCTGTAAATGGAGAGGGGTTCCTGTAATATAATATGTAATGGGAAAATATAAATGGAGGGATTTTCATGGATTTTCCATGTTTGATTACCACAGGGTGACCATCCAACCACTCTCCCAGCCTCTGTTGCAGATCCGGCATGCCCTTCTTGCGAACATATTCCGTCAGGGTCAAAAAATCCTTGGGGTTGACCTCCTCCTCGTCCTCCAAACAGTCCATGGCAGATGCAACGTCACCTAGCTGCGACCTCGAAGAAGCTTGTCGGTTGAGCCGTAGCTTCTCATCCTCTTCGGTCTGTTCATGGGGATGCCAGCCCATGCTCCGCAAGAAGTTGTGGTCCTCGGAGTATTGCCTTGGATACTGCTGGATTTCCTCGATCTATTCTGATTTCCCAGGATTTGTGGGAAAATCATCAAGGTCTTCAAGAAAAACCCAGAATTTGAAGTACTTTGATTTATCCCAAACTCCATATAATTCTTCCATACTTCCATGCTCTTGACCCACCATCAAAAGCCAAGTTGCTGCACCGACCCCGATAGGACGATATATGCATTCTCCACCGGATCCTTCTCCCTGAAGAGAAGTTGTCCACCGATCACCGACACGAAATGCATGGCCTCCGCTTCGATCAGCCGGGTGATCAGCGTGAAGTGTTCACCTGAAACGCCAGGGGAGAAGCGACCGACCTAATACGGCCATAGAACGAAGGGAAACCATCCTCCAAAACAAACAAAATGGGGGTATGTGTTGTTTTTTTAGCAAGAACAAGAAATGATGAAGAGAAAGCATCCTTCAAGAGCAAAAGATTGTGGAGAATGATGGAAAATCAAAACCAAACTCAAGACAACCATCGGAAATCTTGGGGAAACCTTCGGGAATTTCATCAAGTTTTATCTATTTGTTCCCAAGTCACTATCCAAGGTCTGTAGAAGTGGTGTCTGTGTCGCAATCTCAGAGGCTGTTTGACCTGTTGGGCCACGTACCACGAAGCCATCCGCCAGTGGTTCCGGGGGTTTCCTCGCAGCTCTGGCGCGATCCGACAGGATGTCCATGCCGCGGGGTCGGCGGAACCTGAAAGGCCACGGGATGAATTTTCCCACGATTTTCCCACGAATTCCCAGGATTTTCCCATGAAATAGGCATTAATACCATAATTATCCCATGATTATGCCATGAAATACCCACCAAATAGCCACAATTATCCCATGACTATCCCATGATTATCCCATTCAATAGCCATTCAATAGCCATGAATCCCAGCACTAATCCACCTTTCTCCAAGCAACGACATGTTGGAGCAGATGCCATGGAAGGCCCTCAGGTCATCCTCGCGTTTTCGCAAGCGATATTCGTCACAGGTCTCGGCCACTTTGGTGACCAGACTTCGAGACTTGATCTCGGTTTTGGGGTTCAAGGGCCTCAGCTGCTGAAGATTACTTAGTATCATGATTGATCATATGGTTGCTATTAGTTAGCATATAAATATGGAAGATCTTCAGTAACTAGTTGGTTATTGGAAGATCTGATTATTGGATTCTTCAGATTCGGAGTTGAAGGGGATGATCGTTAGGGGCAACTGAAGCGACCGTTTTTCTGGTGGATTTTTGGAAGGAAAACAGAAAAAATTCAAAGTTCAGCAATGCAAAGTCTGTTTGACCCACCAAAATGCAAAGATTTCAGCCAGAAATCATTTGGGTACTCAAAAACCGGGTCGGCACAGAGGCAAAAAATCCACTGTTCCTATGTTTTATATTGATTTTTGATATACTTTTCTACATTGTAACTACATAATCCATCCAATCTTTGGGGTCTTCACCAAGGCACTCCGGAATCGCTGGTCCCAAGCCGCCCAGGCCATCATTCTCGAAGCCCTTGGACAACAACTCGCTCCAGCTGTCCGCCGCTAGGGATCCGCTGGTGAAGGACTTCACGGAGGCCAGAGACACGGTCCAGGGCCGAGCCGTCCTGATGGAGGGTGAAAACCCTGAAAAACATGGGAAGATGGGAAAATCATGGGAAAATAATGGGAAAATAGGAATTTTTGCTGTTGAAAATGGTAAAATTCACTCAGAAATGATGGGTTATTTGGTGATTTAACCCATAAAGATCGCGAAATCATCGGGGGAAATCATGGGATTTTTGTCGCTGTTGAATGTCCCAGTGAGCCAAATCCCTAAGTTGGCAAACATCAGTCCAATTTCACGATTGGGTTTATGCTAGATATACTAATATGGCTATGGATCAATACCTATGAAAATACCCATATTTTAGGGGGATGAACATCCATAAATCCCAGCTATTTTGATGTGAACTACAGGGGTGCAAGGTTTTGACCCATCCCCATATACCTAAATCTGGAACGGGGGTTTTGAACCAATAATTGGGCGAGAACCACCTTGTCGGAATATCGGTCTGAGGAGAACTTCGATGAGGATAGGAAGATTTCACCAATACTCTGGTGATCCGAATCATGGCGTGATATCCACAGCGGTATTGAAGATTTCTAAAAAAAGAGAAAGCTGAATTGATCTTCTCGTGTTTTTTTCTTCTTCTTATTCTTTTCTTCTTCTTCTTCTTCTTTTTCTTCTTCTTCTTCTTATTCTTCTTCTTCTTCTTATTTTTTATTCTTCTTCTTCTTATTCTTCTTCTTCGTCTTCTTCTTTTTCTTCTTCTTCTTCTTTTTCTTCTTCTTATTGTTCTTCTTCTTATTATTCTTTTTATTCGTCTTCTTCTTCTCCTTCTTCTTCTTCTTGTTATTTTTCTTCTTCTTCTTTTTATTATTCTTCTTCTTCTTCTTCTTTTTCTTTTTCTTCTTCTTCTTCTTCTTGTTATTTTTCTTCTTCTTCTTTTTATTCTTCTTCTTATTATTATTATCATTTTTCTTCTTATTATTTATTATTATTTTTCTTCTTATTATTATTATTTTTCTTATTATTCTTCTTTTTCTTCTTCTTCTTCTTTTTATTCTTCTTCTTCTTCTTTTTTTCTTCTTCTTCTTCTTTTTCTTCTTCTTCTTCTTATTCCTCCTTCTTCTTCTTATTCTCATTATTCTTCTTATTATTCTTCATCTTCTTCTTCTTATTCTTCTTCTTCTTCTTATTGTTCTTCTTCTTCTTCTTCTTATTCTTCTTCTTCTTCTTATTTTTTATTCTTCTTCTTCTTCTTATTCTTCTTCTTCGTCTTCTTCTTTTTCTTCTTCTTCTTTTTCTTCTTCTTATTGTTCTTCTTCTTATTATTCTTTTTATTCGTCTTCTTCTTCTCCTTCTTCTTCTTCTTGTTATTTTTCTTCTTCTTCTTTTTATTCTTCTTCTTCTTCTTCTTCTTTTTCTTTTTCTTCTTCTTCTTCTTCTTCTTTTTCTTCTTCTTCCTCCTTCTTCTTATTCTTCATCTTCTTCTTCTTCTTCTTATTCTTCATCTTCTTCTTATTATTCTTCTTCTTCTTCTTATTGTTTTTCTTCTTCCTTCTTCTTCTTCTAGTTCTTAGCAAACTCAACCATCAAAAGACCATCACAATCCATCACCGTTGCTCAATTTTCCTATCTCCTTGCTCAATCCCAGTCCTCAAGGATTCACTCCCCGGTGAAGTGCAGGCAGCCTCAAAGATCAGGCTTCAACAATTCCGTGTCTTCACGGTGAAGCATAGTTTCTTGAGTTACTGAAGCTATGCAATTTGGATACACCTTGGTTTCATCCAGTTTCATACATCACCACCATCATTATTGTTAATATCGCCATTATTGATATCATTTTTATTATTAATATCACATTTGGATACATCATTATTATTAATACTTCAGGTATCATCACCACCACCATGAAGCATGGCCGAGTTAGCCAACTGGAGATGTGCCAGGTCTTAACTTGGTCCTGGGCTTCGATGCCATCCAAAAAATCCCCAAAGGTTGCCATTTCAATGGGTCATCAGAACCATCCCCAAATGACAGGTTAGGATTAGGTTTTGGGTAGAAATCTTATGTGGGATGTTTTTGTAAAACCAATTGGGCACCATCCCCCAATCCATAATGATATTGGAATATCCCCAACGATCGTATGTTTTTTGTAACAACAAAAAAAAGTGGGAAAGATCATGATGGGATAGTTTTGGATAATATCTATGGGATAGTGTTCAAAGGAAGACTATGCGATACATGGAATAATTATGGAAAGACCACGGATGATCATTGGACAATTAAGGGATCAATTCCATAGTGACCTAGTCCTCCCCAATTTCAGTTTCCAGACATGGGATGATGTTTACCACATGGTCGTATGGCTATATATCTGGTCGTATGGCTATGTGTTATTTTTTTAGACCCAATATCTTGACAACAAGGATTACCATCGACTTGCTGCTTGGTGGTCCCATTGATAGATCCTCTACCCACTAGAAATCATTGGAAAATGTTAGAGGATATAAATCCGATGTTAAATTGTCCTATGATTTTAATGATTGTTAATTCTCATCTTGTTCTTTTCCCATGTTAAATCACCAGAGGGTATACAACTCAAACCGTTTTCTATAGTTTGAATTCTCGGTACCTGGGATGCACAGGGTGCCCGGTACCCCATAAACTTCATAAACCATCCCATTCCCTACGTTCCACAAAGCCCGGTCCAGCTATCATCCACTTGACCTGTGGCAGCTATGGTGAAGTTGGGGCTGTTGGGGGTTCAAATGAGATATAACTTCTAACATATGTGGTTAACATATTTAGTTAGTTGGGTTCACCATATTTGGTGACTTATGGATATTATGGATATGGTGAAATTGGGTCAGATCTCGCTTTTGGATATCTTCACATTCCTCAAATCTCCATCTGGCGAAAATCCGAACAAGCAAATCCCATCATCTAACAAGTCGCGCCGTGAGGTCATTCTCTCATTTACCCCATCAAGATATATAATATTTTATATATAGAATATTATATTATATAGTTATATATATATTATACTATATTTTTATATATGTATACGTATATATATGTATATATACATGATATACTTTGCACATACTTTTCACCCTTTACTTTTCACCCAGAGACTCTTCACCCAGAAACTCTTCTTGCACAGACTTTTCACCCAGAGACTCTTCACCCAGGAACTCTTCTTGCACAGACTTTTCACCCATATACTTTTCACACAGAGACTCTTCACCCAGAAACCCTTTTTGCACATACTTTTCACTCAATGTCCTTCTCTCTCCAATCTCCTCTAACTAGCTGGCCTATCTATCTGTCCATTGACTGAGCCCAGAAAACCCCAGAAAACCGGACCTAGGGGGAATCGATACCCACCGTCACTGTTTTGCCGGCTGGTACATTATCCTGCAAAACCGTACTTTGCCCGGAACTAAAACACCACCTATTTCCGCCATTTTTGACCCGTTTGGCAACTACCCCCCCCAGACCCCCTATTCTCACTTCGTTCGCAAATAACAACTAGCCAGCTTCCCGGCTGGCTTTCGTAATTATATAATTATCTAACTATATAGTTATATAATTATATATATATATATTATACTATATTATTATATATCTATATATGTATACGTGTATATACATATACATGATATATTGTATTATATACATATTGCTTCAAAACTCCCATTGTTTTTGGTGTTAACTGTTACCACTTTGGGATGGATCAATCCCTCAATCCCGCCTTGAAAGCCCGCAGCTTGACCTGGACAGCAATGCTGGTGATTTCCTTGCCAAAAAAACAACAGGACGGACATCAAAAAATTGCTATGTGGATATAATGGTGATATCAAGACTTAAATATCCTGAGGATTTTAACGTCTCAGCATCGCCAAGAATTTCAGTGGCTCTGAAGCAGAGCTGAAAAACCAACCGTAAGATCCAGCCGGAAGGGGCCCCTCTGGTGATGGTTTGCTGGTTTATAACGTTTATAACGTTTATAACGTTTATAACGTTTATAACGTTTATAACGTTTATAACGTTTATAACGTTTATAACCCCATCTAAGAATAGATCAACATAGACATATCACATATCCAGCATAAATCCAACACTTCGCCTAGCTATTCACATAAATTCATAAGTTGCTAATTTGCCTTTGGAAGTGGCCAACATTGCTGGCTGAGCCGCTTCGCAGTGAAGGAGATAACCTGAGCAATTCGTTCAAAACTCGGGAAATTCACTTCACAACCAAGGGATAGACATCATGAAGCATCAAACAAAAAAAATGTTGGTTATAGACTTATAGAGATGTTTTGAACAGCGAGCACTCTGCTACACTGAAACCTCTGAGTTGCAATCTGCGCAAGAAAAATCCAATGTGGTGACGTAAACGTCCAGCATTTTGACAGTTATGTCGCAACAATCTCTGTGTCTCTCCAACTATCAATGCAGTGTAAACGGATTTTGGATGGCAGGAGGTCCTGGGAATGTATAGGTATGCGTTCTGTGGCTTGCGATATGTCTGGATCGCAAACTGCCCCTGAGCCAGCGAGATGTCCAAATCTAGAAACACAACCCGCTTTCCTGAAAAAGAAAAAGAAACGTCCCACTGGATGGCAGGATGCCACTTGTTCAATTGCTGCTGCACAAACTTGACATCGCTTTGCAGGTTGCAACTCACAGGTTTCAGTGTAGCAGAGTGCTCGCAGCTCATTGAGAAAACACTGCAGAATTGTCTTTGCGAAAGCAGAAAGTGAGACAAGAGAACAAGTTCTTTTTCAGACAAACCTACACAAGCACATTGAACGCCAGATGGATTCAACATGCACTCCGTCGAAACTGGCATGTGGTGCAAAGCACCCTGAAAAAACCAGCCAAACCAGTTCTCTCATTTAGGGTCCAGAAGAATATCTTCAGGATGGATTTCTGTCGCAATTGGCTTTTTTAGTATGATACCCCACAGGGTTTGGGACGAGGTTGAGGTGTGGGTTTTTTTTTCGAAAAACAGTTGAAAGCTTCAGATGCAAGGTTGTTGGGATGATGCTGAAAAAAACTTCACCTGATAGCCTTGGCCGAGCATATTTTGCTCAGGCCGCCAGAAGATTCCAGTTTAGGACGAAACGAGTTGCAATGGGCCTGTGAAAATCTTTGCTCTTCGCTTGCCACGGTTTGAGTTGGAAAGTTCCATCAGAGTGACGGTTACAGCCAACAGCCAAGTTGTAGCGTTGTGCAACGATGAGATCCGCCCTCATTCGGCCGCGGGACGGGCGGTTCACAGGCATCAGCAGGCAGAGCTTTGGCCTCGAGATATCCCATAGGTGGAACTTAAAATGGGACGGTTTGCAGCAATGAAAAAAGATTTGTTTTAAAAAAATAGTGAAAGAAAATTCCGAAATAAGGGTAAATGATGGTAAATAACTTAAATCGATCTTTTGAGGCTACTATGCTACAAACAATGAACAAAAGCTGCGTTCCACTCGGATCGAATCAGCTAAAATCATGGGTTTTTAGCAGCCAAAAGCGCGGAATCCACCGAGAAAACTGGTGATTTTTTGCCAACAAAAACTTCGGATGTCGAGATATGTCGAGCATGCGGGGTATGGAGATGGGTCTGTTGATGTTGTGACCGTGGGGATTTGCCAATCAAGACTTGAGCTGTCAAAAACTATCGGTATACTGTTCGCTGTATATCGCTGTAAGACTTAAGTTACAGTTCATGAGTATAGGAATACGATCTGTTAATCTCGTGGGGTCTAAAATGGTATTGGAATACCAACAATGGGTATACTGTATACTACCAACAGCAATGATGGCATGGGAGAAGACTACTCTCAGAGGAACTGGTTCATGTTCCCAAACTCAAAATCTCATTGGCAAAATGGCATGAAAAAATTGAAAAACACCATGCCCTTGAATCATTTGAAACCTCCAAGGTGGTCACTGTGATGGCCATTGATTGCAATTTGTTGCTTCCATCACGATCAAACCTCAAGTATAAGATTGATCCACCCAAAGCCGCACCTGCTGCACTCATGCAGGGAACGTCATTCGATCAACATGTTAATAGCATCAAGTCTAGGCCGTGTACAAACAAAACTACTCACATTTTTACAAGTCTTCAACAAAAGTGCCCGCAAACTAAATTCCAGTACATTATCCTTTTTCTGCCCTGCCCTTCTGTTAAAAACACCTTGGGAGTTGTTTTTTCTGTATGTGCACAAACTGTCTTGGGCCAAAAAGGAAAGGTCACCAAGGTCGAAAATGTCCAAAAACTCGTAGGGATTGGGCAACTAGTGGTTGGCCCACTGCTAAACAATGGGGATAGGTTGGCAAAATGGAAGCATCCAGAAATATGAAACAATGGGAACCCCAACTGTTCACAATAATTTACCACCTGATCACCCATTTTGCATCCCATAGATCGCCAAATTGCAGCTGTCAAGGGATCCACTTGATCACCATGCACCTTTTGGGACTTTTTTTGGACCATGGCTAGCCGCCATCAGAAACGAAGAGAAGTCCCAACGGGGCCCCGCCCTCCAGGACACCCATTGCGAGGCGGCAACTGCTGGGATCCGCCCTACGGTAGGAATGGTGTTCCATCGCATTGGATGTGCTTCGTTACTGAATTGCGAACGACACACATCAAATGGGATGGAAGACCATCCTTATGACAGAAACCCAAAAGATCTAGAGTACGATTGCAGCTTGTGCGCATACGCGCAACAGAGGGGAAGTACCCTACGAAACATGACTCGAATAGATTCGAATAGTTTCGCAGTCACTTGGCAAAGTTTGGCAAGTGGATACTGAAGAACCGCTGCCACCGGTGGTCACCTCCCATGGATCAGCAGCCAAACAAACATCGAAAAATGCCTCGCTTGTCTTGTCGAACCAGGACACCAAATGCTGAAAGCTCCAGCTCTTCACAGGGAGAAGAGTTGATGCTAAAATCATGAGGCAATTGAAAAAGATGTCAATACGGATGCACTGAAGTATACGATTGAATTTTATGAATCTGTTTGCACATGTTTGCACTGTAGTATGTGATACTAGTTTTTTTTTGTAAAGTAGACTCTCTTAAATCTGACGCCAATGGCATGGGCCCCCAGGTGGAGCAGTTTTTCAGAACTTCACACAGCCGCAAGCCTGGCGTTCCAACACGACATGCTTGGGGGGTGTGGATCCTGCCGGCTCTCTATGAAACCATTTAAAAATAAATACCTTACTTCGAGTGATTCCTAGCCTCACCAATTTATTGGACATTCTATCTCACATTTTCTGGCATATATTCTGACATTCTATCTCACGTGGAAAAACGAGTGAAAATCTCCGCTTCACTGGCGACAACGTCAACTGCCATAAGCGACCTGCAAAGAAGGAGGTGGCCACTGTACGAGCGTGTGTGTGCGAGTCAATCCGCATGGTGCAATGGCTGAGCCAAGCATATCTCACATTCTTTCTGGCATTCTATCTGGCATCTTTTCTGCCATTCTTTCTGACATTTTTTCTGGCATTATGTCTAACATATGTTCTGACATCTTATCTGGAAGCCTGGCGTTCTATCTGGCATGTGTTCGGTATGGCATTCGGGTCCAGGCAGTGAGGAGCTGCACCTTTGTCAAAATCGACCCTCGGCAGATCGGGAAATAAAACAAAGCACGAGGCCACGAGGCCACAAGCCCCAAAGAAAGAATCCACATCAACCACTCGTTCTGTAGATCTCAAGGATGATGTTCAACCAGTTGTCGACATAAAGGGACACAAACAACAAATCTGTAAGTCATCGGCTATGCACCAAGCAAGTAGGCTTGGCTAAGCACCTTTGAGCATCTTTAAAACTCTTGTGATTAAATGTAATCATGATCACTACGATTATGATCATTATGTTTTTTCATCCACTATTCATAATATCTTAGAAAGAACTGGTAGCTGCCCCTCATCACAAATCCCTCAGCCTTCCGTTCAAAAGGAAGCCACTCCACACCATCTACATCGTCCGACGTCTGGTCCATGCCTCAATGGCTGGCAAGTTCCCATCTCCAATGGAAAATACCTAGACTTTCCTTTCACGAACTCACAGCATCTTGCTTTTTCTCATAGGTGCTTGAATGGCGTGTCTGATACGGGGTGTTTTAAATGGACCTGTAATTCAATGTTCCTCACCGCAGGGTGTGACTAGAGCAACTAGCAAGAACTACAAAAGCCAGATCATGGCATTTTGATGCCCATGCCCCAAACCCCAAACATCTCCCAAATGTTTTCGAACAAATCATGTTTATGCTAACGGCTCTAAAGCGGTACTTGTGCTTGCGTTTTAGAACTGCCAGTCTGCTCGTCGAATACTGCCATTTTCCATGCTTGCGGGTAGAAAGATTTAAAAAAAAACACCAAAATGGAAACTAACTCGACACAATGGAAAAGAAAGAGAGAAAATCAAAAAAAATATGCAGAGCCCTGCGGTTTTGGGTGTCGCAGCCAGGAGCCTGGAAAACCCTAAGCCAATAGGCGTTTCTTTCTGTTTGCAGTTGCAGAATTCAACCGTGTAGTACTCAGGAGGGTGATTCTGGAAGTCTAATCCCCCACGAGTTTGTAGCACTTGTAACCTTTATTGGGGACAACCGCACCTTTGGGACCACCCGCTGAAATCTTCCGATCCAACTAAGTAAACTCATTTTCGATCAAACCAACCCTCAAGCAGCAACAGCTGGGCAGCTAGGCAGCTAGGCAGCTAGGCGGTGGATGAAGACCGGATCTAAATGGTGGAAGCGTGTATTAACCCACCTCCACACTGAAACACTCAGAAATTAACAAACCAATTTTGCCTGAAATGAAGTGAAGTTCAATGTCCAAGCTTCGAACGATAAGTTGGGACCCTGCTGACCGCAATTTTCTCAGTGAATCTTGAACAATTGACAGTTACCACAAGCGCGATGCCAAAGCATTCGTTTTACACCTCTGGCATGTGGCATTTGTCGAAGTGAAATCACACTGAGGACATAGAAATAGCGGGCGCCTGAGCAAGTGGCTGAAAGCAGTGCGCAAATGCCAGGTTTGAAGCATCCGTTACAAGTCATTCCTTTCGTCATGGTTTGGGTATGTTTGGTTCTCTTTGGTTGTCTTTGTTGCCAAACTGGCAAGATCTCCATCGAAACAAAGGAAGCCTGGCAAATCGATACCGGACACCGCCCAACTCCACGAAGTCTGGTGCTCCTTCGCTTTTCTGCAAAGCTGGCCAAACGGGCTGTGGAAGCTGCTCCCAGGCGTCTGCTGGGATCTTGTCGCAGCCACCCAAATTGAGCTCCTTCGGGTTTCAAGGCAAAAGAAATTCTCAAAGACAGCCGCATGAATGAGTCGCACGTCACAACACAGAATGTTCCTCCAGCGCTGCGCATTTGGCCAAGGAAAGGAGGAGCACGGCGGCCCCATCTGCGCCCTCTGTCTGTGCCCCGAAGCACCTTCAAAACAGGGAGAACTCAGTGCTTTTAGATGTTGAAACATCTTCCCAAAGTGAAAATCTGACAGCAAAATGTGACCAGACAATCTGAATCACTCAGTGGAAACTGGTGACAACCAACAGATATATCATAGGATCAAGGCAATCACAATTCGCTACTGTCTGAAGCTTCTCAACTTCTGCAAAGTCTCAAGACCACGAACTGAAACCCATCGTGCAACAGCATTTTCCCGCCAAGACACCCTTCAAACGATGCCTTTTTAAGGTTCACCCACCTGGCTTCTCCCAGCTGCTTCCACGCGTCTGCTGGGATCTTGTCGCACCAATCCAAGTTAAGATCCTTCCGGCTTCAAGACAAAACAAGTTCTCAAAGACAGTCACACGTCGCAACACAGAATGTTCCTCCAGCGCTGTGCATTTGGCCAAGGAAAGGAGGAGCACGGCGGCCCCATCTGCGCCCTCTGTCTTTGCCCCGAAGCACCTTCAAAACAGGGAGAACTCAGTGCTTTTAGATGTTGAAACATCTTCCCAAAGTGAAAATCTGACAGCAAAATGTGACCAGACAATCTGAATCACTCAGTGGAAACTGGTGACAACCAACAGATATATCATAGGATCAAGGCAATCACAATTCGCTACTGTCTGAAGCTTCTCAACTTCTGCAAAGTCTCAAGACCACGAACTGAAACCCATCGTGCAACAACATTTTCCTGCCAAGACACATGATAAATGATGCCTTTTTGAGGTTCACCCACCTGGCTTCTCCCAGCTGCTTCCAGGCATCTGCTGGGATTTTCCAGCAACGTTCCAAGTTAAGATCCTTCCGGTTTCAAGACAAAAGAAGTTCTCAAAGACAGTCACACGGTGTCACACGTCACAACTCAGAATGTTCCTCCAGCGCTGCGCATTTGGCCAAGGAAAGGAGGAGCACGGCGGCCCCATCTGCGCCCACTGTGTCTGAATCGAAGCACCTTCAAAACAGGGAGAACTCAGTCTGCTTTTAGATGTTGAAACATCTTCTCAAAGTGAAACTCTGACAGCAAAATGTACCCAGACAATCTGAATCACTCAGTGGAAATTGGTGACAACCAACTGATATCATTCGGAAAAATCACATGAGATGCAGAAGATCAAGACAATCACAACTCCCTGCTGTCTGAAGCTTTTCAACTTTGGAGGTTCCTTTCTAAGAACTCAAGCTTCTTGCAACAACATTTTCCTGCCAAGACACCCTTCAAACGATGCCTTTTTGAGGTTCACCCACCTGGCTTCTCCCAGCTGCTTCCACGCGTCTGCTGGGATCCCTTTGCAAGCATCCAAGTTAAGATCCTTCCAGTTTCAAGACAAAAGAAGTTCTCAAAGACAGTCACACGTCACAACTCAGAATGTTCCTCCAGCGCTGCGCATTTGGCCAAGGAAAGGAGGAGCACGGCGGCCCCTCTTGCGCCCTTTGTGTCCCGACCGAAGCACCTTGAAAACATTCGCGGAATGAAATCTGACAACAGAACGTCACTTGCGATTCTGTATCAGAGACAATCCCAAAAAATCCCAAAAACATCATTCGAAAAAATCACATGAGATGCAGAAGATCAAGGCAATCACAGCTCCGTGCTGTCTGAAGTTTCTCAACTTTGCCAGTGTAACTTCCAAGAACTGAAACCTGGTGCAACTACATTTTCCCGCCAAGACACCAGCGAAATGATGCCTTTTTGAGGTTCACCCACCTGGCTTCTCCCAGCTGCTTCCACGCGTCTGCTGGGATCTTGATGCAAGAATCCAAGTTAAGATCCTTCCGGTTTCAAGGCAAAAGAAGTTCTCAAAGACAGTCACACGGTGTCACACGTCACAACTCAGAATGTTCCTCCAGCGCTGCGCATTTGGCCAAGGAAAGGAGGAGCACGGCGGCCCCATCTGCACCCACTGTGTCTGAATTGAAGCACCTTCAAAACAGGGAGAACTCAGTCTGCTTTTAGATGTTGAAACATCTTCTCAAAGTGACAATCTGGCAGCAAAGTGTCATGCTGTATCACTCAGTGGAAATTTGAAACAACCCAACAGAACAATCGTACAAGTTTCACATGAGACATGTAGGATTAAGCAATTCACAACTCCCTACTGTCTGAAGTTTCTCAACTTTGGCAAACACCAACTGAAACGCTCATGCAACAACATTTTCCTGCCAAGACACCAGCGAAATGATGCCTTTTTGAGGTTCACCCACCTGGCTTCTCCCAGCTGCTTCCACGCGTCTGCTGGGATCTTGATGCAAGAATCCAAGTTAAGATCCTTCCGGTTTCAAGGCAAAAGAAGTTCTCAAAGACAGTCACACGGTGTCACACGTCACAACTCAGAATGTTCCTCCAGCGCTGCGCATTTGGCCAAGGAAAGGAGGAGCACGGCGGCCCCATCTGCACCCACTGTGTCTGAATCGAAGCACCTTCAAAACAGGGAGAACTCAGTCTGCTTTTAGATGTTGAAACATCTTCTCAAAGTGACAATCTGGCAGCAAAGTGTCATGCTGTATCACTCAGTGGAAATTTGAAACAACCCAACAGAACAATCGTACAAGTTTCACATGAGACATGTAGGATTAAGCAATTCACAACTCCCTACTGTCTGAAGTTTCTCAACTTTGGCAAACTATCCATTCCACCAACTGAAACGTTCACGCAACAACGTTTTCCCGCCAAGACACCAGCCAAATGATGCCTTTTTGAGGTTCACCCACCTGGCTTCTCCCAACTGCTTCCAGGCGTCTGCTGGGATCTCGCTGCACCAATCCAAGTTAAGATCCTTCCGGTTTCAAGACAAAAGAAGTTCTCAAAGACAGTCACACGGTGTCACACGTCACAACTCAGAATGTTCCTCCAGCGCTGCGCATTTGGCCAAGGAAAGGAGGAGCACGGCGTCCCCTCTTGCGCCCTTTGTGTCCCGACCGAAGCACCTTGAAAACATTCGCGGAATGAAATCTGACAACAGAACGTCACTTGCAATTCTGTATCAGAGACAACCCCAAAAACATCATTCGAAGAAATCACATGAGATGCAGAAGATCAAGGCAATCACAACTCCGTGCTGTCTGAAGTTTCTCAACTTTGCCAAAGTGTAACTTCCAAGAACTGAAACCTGGTGCAACTACATTTTCCCGCCAAGACACCAGCGAAACGATGCCTTTTTGAGGTTCACCCACCTAGCTTCTCCCAGCTGCTTCCAGGCGTCTGCTGGGATCTTGTAGCAGTCACTCAAATTGAGCTCCTTCGGGTTTCAAGACAAAAGAAGTTCTCAAAGACAGTCACATGTCACAACTCAGAATGTTCCTCCAGCGCTGCGCATTTGGCCAAGGAAAGGAGGAGCACGGCGGCCCCATCTGCGCCCACTGTGTCTGAATTGAAGCACCTTCAAAACAGGGAGAACTCAGTCTGCTTTTAGATGTTGAAACATCTTCTCAAAGTGACAATCTGGCAGCAAAGTGTCATGCTGTATCACTCAGTGGAAATTTGAAACAACCCAACAGAACAATCGTACAAGTTTCACATGAGACATGTAGGATTAAGCAATTCACAACTCCCTACTGTCTGAAGTTTCTCAACTTTGGCAAACTATCCATTCCACCAACTGAAACGTTCACGCAGCAACGTTTTCCCGCCAAGACACCAGCCAAATGATGCCTTTTTGAGGTTCACCCACCTGGCTTCTCCCAACTGCTTCCAGGCGTCTGCTGGGATCTCGCTGCACCAATCCAAGTTAAGATCCTTCCGGTTTCAAGACAAAAGAAGTTCTCAAAGACAGTCACACGGTGTCACACGTCACAACTCAGAATGTTCCTCCAGCGCTGCGCATTTGGCCAAGGAAAGGAGGAGTTGCAATGGGTTACATGGAGGAGTATCACTGCAAAAGAGGCGGCCAAATTGGGCCGAACGAAGATGTTTGGCACCGGTGCAGAGACTGGTGCAAGCGTCAGTGTAACCTGCCACGCAAGCTCGAAATTTGCAACAAGGCGGTTCTTGCAACAAAAGAACTCTGAAGCTAGGGCACTCCGTTGAGCACAGCAACAAGTTATTCCGGCAAAATCTCCATCGAAGCACAGGAAGCCTGACAGATGGATACCGCCCAACTCCACGAAGTCTGGTACTCCTTCGCTTTTCTGCAAAGCTGGCCAAACGGGCTGTGGAAGCTGCTCCCAGGCGTCTGCCGGGATCTTGTCGCAGTCACCCAAATTGAGCTCCTTCGGGTTTCAAGACAAAAAAATTCTCAAAGACAGCCGCATGAATGAGTCGCACGTCACAACTCAGAATGTTCCTCCAGCGCTGCGCATTTGGCCAAGGAAAGGAGGAGCACGGCGGCCCCTCTTGCGCCCTTTGTGTCCCGACCGAAGCACCTTGAAAACATTCGCGGAATGAAATCTGACAACAGAACGTCACTTGCGATTCTGTATCAGAGACAACCCCAAAAACATCATTCGAAGAAATCACATGAGATGCAGAAGATCAAGGCAATCACAACTCCGTGCTGTCTGAAGTTTCTCAACTTTGCCAAAGTGTAACTTCCAAGAACTGAAACCTGGTGCAACTACATTTTCCCGCCAAGACACCCTTCAAACGATGCCTTTTTGAGGTTCACCCACCTGGCTTCTCCCAGCTGCTTCCAGGCGTCTGCTGGGATCTTGTAGCAGTCACTCAAATTGAGCTCCTTCGGGTTTCAAGACAAAAGAAGTTCTCAAAGACAGTCACACGTCACAACTCAGAATGTTCCTCCAGCGCTGCGCATTTGGCCAAGGAAAGGAGGAGCACGGCGGCCCCATCTGCGCCCTCTGTCTGTCTACCGAAGCACCTTCAAAACAGGGAGAACTCAGTCTGCTTTTAGATGTTGAAACATCTTCCCAAAGTGAAAATCTGACAGCAAAATGTAACCAGACAATCTGAATCACTCAGTGGAAACTGGTGACAACCAACAGATATATCATAGGATCAAGGCAATCACAACTCGCTACTGTCTGAAGCTTCTCAACTTCTGCAAAGTCTCAAGTCCACGAACTGAAACCCATCGTGCAACAACATTTTCCTGCCAAGACACTGAGAAAATGATGCCTTTTTTGAGGTTCACCCACCTGGCTTCTCCCAGCTGCTTCCACGCGTCTGCTGGGATCTTGATGCAAGAATCCAAGTTAAGGTCCTTCCGGTTTCAAGGCAAAAGAAGTTCTCAAAGACAGTCACACGGTGTCACACGTCACAACTCAGAATGTTCCTCCAGCGCTGAGCATTTGGCCAAGAAAAGGAGGAGCACGGCGGCCCCATCGCCCACTGGGTCGAAATGGAAGCACCTTCAAAACAGGGAGAAGTCAGTGCTTTTAGATGTTGAAACATCTTCTCAAAGTGAAACTCTGACAGCAAAATGTAACCAGACAATCTGAATCACTCAGTGGAGACTGGTGAAAGCCAACTGATATATCATTCAAACATGATGCAGATAAGACAGGTAGTACCAAGTTACTCACAGCTCCCTACTGTCTGAAGTTTCTCAACTTCTGCAAAGTCTCAAGTCCACGAACTGAAACCCATCGTGCAACAACATTTTCCTGCCAAGACACCAGCAAAATGATGCCTTTTTGAGGTTCACCCACCTGGCTTCTCCCAGCTGCTTCCAGGCGTCTGCTGGGATCTTCCAGCAGCCACGCAAATTAAGCTCCTTCGGGTTTCAAGACAAAAGAAGTTCTCAAAGACAGCCGCATGAATGAGTCGCACGTCACAACTCAGAATGTTCCTCCAGCGCTGCGCATTTGGCCAAGGAAAGGAGGAGCACGGCGGCCCCATCTGCGCCCGTGTCTGAACCGAAGCACCTTCAAAACAGGGAGAACTCAGTGCTTTTAGATGTTGAAACATCTTCTCAAAGTGAAACTCTGACAGAAAAATGTGACCAGACAATCTGAATCACTCAGTGGAGACTGGTGAAAGCCAACTGATATATCATTCAAACATGATGCAGATAAGACATGTAGTACCAAGTAACTCACAGCTCCCTACTGTCTGAAGTTTCTCAACTTTTGCAAAGTCTCAAGTCCACGAACTGAAACCCATCGTGCAACAACATTTTCCTGCCAAGACACTGGCGAAATGATGCCTTTTTGAGGTTCACCCACCTGGCTTCTCCCAACTGCTTCCAGGCGTCTGCTGGGATCTTGCCGCACTCATCCAAATTGAGCTCCTTCCGGGTACAAGACAAAAGAAGTTCACAAAGACAGTCACACATCACAACTCAGAATGTTCCTCCAGCGCTGCGCATTTGGCCAAGGAAAGGAGGAGCACGGCGGCCCCATCTGCGCGCACTGCGTCTGAACCGAAGCACCTTCAAAACAGGGAGAACTCAGTCTGCTTTTAGATGTTGAAACATCTTCTCAAAGTGAAACTCTGACAGCAAAATGTGACCAGACAATCTGAATCACTCAGTGGAGACTGGTGAAAGCCAACTGATATATCATTCAAACATGATGCAGATAAGACATGTAGTACCAAGTAACTCACAGCTCCCTACTGTCTGAAGTTTCTCAACTTTTGCAAAGTCTCAAGTCCACGAACTGAAACCCATCGTGCAACAACATTTTCCTGCCAAGACACTGGCGAAATGATGCCTTTTTGAGGTTCACCCACCTGGCTTCTCCCAACTGCTTCCAGGCGTCTGCTGGGATCATGCCGCACAGATCGAAATTGAGCTCCTTCCGGTTACAAGACAAAAGAAGTTCTCAAAGACAGTCACACATCACGACTCAGAATGTTCCTCCAGCGCTGCGCATTTGGCCAAGGAAAGGAGGAGCACGGCGGCCCCATCTGCGCCCACTGTTCTTAAACCGAAGCACCTTCAAAACAGGGAGAAGTCAGTGCTTTTAGATGTCGAAACATCTTCTCAAAGTGAAACTCCGACAGCAACATGTGACCAGACAATCTGAATCACTCAGTGGAAACTGGTGACAACCAACGGATATATCATAGGATCAAGGCAATCACAACTCGCTACTGTCTGAAGCTTCTGAACTTCTGCAAAGTCTCAAGACCACGAACTGAAACCCATCGTGCAACAACATTTTCCTGCCAAGACACTGAGAAAATGATGCCTTTTTGAGGTTCACCCACCTGGCTTCTCCCAGCTGCTTCCACGCGTCTGCTGGGATCTCGTAGCACAAATCCAAGTTGAGATCCTTCGGGTTTCAAGGCTAAAACTATGATCCCAAACAGTCACATGAATGAGTCGCACGTCACAACTCACAAGGATCCTCCAGCGCTGCACATTTGGCCAAGGAAAGGAGGAGCGTGGATGTCCCTTTCGCTCCAGTGATTAAGGAATGGACAACTCGCAGCTTTCGCAGGAATTTCCGCACAGGGCCCTCCAACCAATCAGCATCTTCTTCACGAACCAAACCACTGAGAAGATGCTGCTTCGGCATTGCTGCCAAAATGGCCACTGGCACCTGGGGCAAGTCGAACACCAAAAAGCCTTTCCTGCATTGCACCGGAAGAATAGGGGGGCGCCTCGTTTGGGCAGTTGAATGCAGCAGGAAGCGCGGAATACCTGATCTCAATCGCCTTCATCTCGTCAGGACCACCTCATTTGAAGCAAAGCTGCGCACTGTCGGCAATTTCTTGGAAAATGCACTCATTCAGAACGCACATGCGCAGCAAGATACTTTCGGACGCCAGCCGATTGAAGATAGGACATTCTACCTTCGCAGGGGAACATGCAAAAATCATCAAAAATCCATCAAACCTTCAATTTGGAAAAATGCACAAGACACCAAAATTCAATTTGTCAAGCCCTGCCTTGGGCCCCAGGTAATACACAAAAAATGACCTTCCTACGCAGCTGACAGCTGTGAGAGCCAGCCACGCTCCCAACACCTCTTTTGGCAATGCCTGCACCCATGACGCACCACGATGCAACATGATGCAACATGATGCGGACGGCTGACATGGAACAAACACCGCGTTCGAACAAACACTTGAAGCTGACGGCAGGCACCACCTGCCTTAGAGTGTTCAGCAAACAAGGCCTCGTTGCGCACCAGAATCTGACAGATGATCAGGGTCAGTGCCAGCATTCCGTCCAGAAACAACGACGCGCGAGACGGCAACAACGACGTAGGTTCTAGAAGCTGCCCAGGATGTGCAACGACAGCTGCCAGCACATCTACAGCAGCTGCATTTGTGAACAAAAGTCTGGACGAAAATGCCAGGACCAAGATCATCACGGGTCCTCCCAACTTGAAGTTTGCGAAGCGGGTCGAAATGTGCAGCAGGTTGATGCCAAACACTCGGCTCAGGACCTCGATGAAACGGATCAAAATCAGCAAAAGGAACTCCAGGTCCCAGCCAGTTTTTTTCCCTGGAAGCCCAAGAACGCGTGAAGGGCTCTTATCTCGGGATGCAAAGTCCAATCCCAACATGCCGCATGATAAGCAGATGGAAGCAGCCAGGAATGCCAAGTCGGTCGGATTCAATTTCAAGTCTGCAAAGGCTTCAACCCCAGAGAGCGCGCATACCAGATAGTTCGCCTGGACGAACGCAGACGTAGCGGCTTCCGTCACCTTCGGCCGTGAAAATCAGAGGTTGGTTTAAGGTTTGACAGGTTTGACAGGTTTGACAGACTCCTCAAACAAAAATCGCACACAAAGCATGTAACATGCAAACCGTTGCAGGCAATCTCCCGTGCCTCCGCGTGTTTGCTACACGCTAGCAGAGGGTGTTTGAAGCGGTGCGCGGCAGACCAAATGCAAAGGCCACATGTGTGTATCTGAAACAGCACACTGCACACCCCACCCGCAATCACCAAAGCTTCAGAACATCCGATTGCCATGATCGCATCCCTTTCTGGGCTCTCCGTATGCAAAAAGTGCACAAAATCGTGTACACTCAGCATGATGGGCAACGACATGCCGGCAAGGTTTATGTAGAAATAGTCCATCATTCCGGTTTTTGCAAACAAAACCAGTTGTTTCACATCGAGCAGGATGTCAAGGTACCAGGCTGCCTTAGAAATCGAGATTTTCAGATGTCAAGTCAAAAAAATGTGTCTTCCCGAATGTTTCTTCTGACAGTTGAAGTCATATTTTGTGTTATTGTCGAGTACAAAGGGCGAGGGTGACAAACACATAGCAGATTTACGTGAATGAATTCAACTGAATCTGCAATCTCGGAAAGTGAGGCCCTGACCAAATCGAGGCAAATAAGCTCGAACCAAAACATGACCGTCTGGCCAGTGGAGATCTTAACCCGTTGCCACATGTTGTGGCAGTGCAGCGTATTGGAATTCTGAGACCACTGGACCCCAGTGATGTGGTCCCGCCGGGGCCCTGAGAGACATCGGAAACCGACGATGGGTAGGACTGCTTCATGTTCTTTGGGATCAACGGTGACTGATTTGAAGATGTCCAGATCTTTCACTTCGATGTCTGGGAGGCTGATACGTGTTCCACGACGACGTGGTGCTGGCCACACTGCGCCACCAGAAAGTGGTTCCATACGCAAGATAGTCTTGTCGGCATCTTGCGCACGAATGATAATGTGTGGATGGTAATAGAGGGCTCCGCCCCCTTCATCGTGTACCTGAGGGGCCAACTGGGACATCATTCCTTGTTTCCAATTACAGTACCTCACCATACCTCACCACAAATGAAAAAAACTCTGCAACCTAGAATGGGGACAAATCATACAATATAAAGTGGCATACATCATGATATGACATGATCTATGTCTATATCATATCATATCATATATCCATGTTTCCATGCCAGAAATTTAACGCTGGCTTAATATGGCATGTTGAACTCTGGCTGCCAAGGCGAAACACAACTGTCAATGGCACTTGTGAGTTGCACAGCTAGGACAAAGTCTGGAGTGGTTGGAAATTGTTTCCAACTGGTAAGATACATTGAGAGACATGATGTCTCACCAGTTTTTCTGCAGAGCGATCATTTAGGTAGTTTGCAGTTCATGCGTCCAGCGCATCTTAACTTGCAGCTTTGTGCGGGGCATCCGCCCTCCACTTGACAAAAAGAACTTCCAGAACGATCAAAAGCATTGACCTGAAGACTCATCAACAGAAAGGATTGCGCAGGAACGACATTTTCGGCTATTTTCCAACACAAGTGTCAAAGTGTTCTCACAGTGCTGAGTAGTTGATGTGATCGTACGTGCTTGGGTCAAACGTGCTTGTCGCTTCTTATTACGACAAGTCAAACTGATTTTCAAATGCCACTGATTATAGCACAAATAACATAGGGCCCTTGCCAGCATGTGACATTGCTCTGAATGTCTTTTTTCCAATGTTATTCAACTGTATGTTTGATTATGTTTGTATATAAATTATGGGTTGCTTCCTAAGACAAAATGGGTTGGGAGAATGCTCATGCCTTTGTTTCAATGAGATCTTGCTTCCTGAAAACACAGCAACTGATATAATTGCTATAACGTGTCATGATCTGAATCTGTTCACACCCCCCAGTCCTGATCACAACAGAAGGCAAGGACATCTTCATTGCTTTCCACCGTGATCGTGTGTTCCACGATGTCCTCCGCTGGAAACGTTTTCACTGGTGCCAGGCGGATCTCTTGAGAGATGCCATCACCAGCAAGTTTCAGACTCAACAGGAGCCCATCCTCTGCATCCTCTGGAAAGGGGTAACCCCCCTTTTTCTCCACTTTCGAAGGCCAAACGATCTGGGCTGAGAAAGTTCTTCGTCGCTGGTGGTCGATGCCGACTTCCAAATCGCTAGCAAGCAATGGGATCCTTGGAAAATGAAAACGAACAACGATCAGCACAGAAAAACGATGCCAAGATCTTAAAGGCCTGTGTCACTGAACCGAAATCTCCGATTGCTAGACCTGTATCTCAAAACCATGCCATTCCCAGCTTCCCATCAATAGCCTAGTTCTGTCACTCTCTGTCTACGACATGTTTTGGCCAAAGGCACAATTCCATTTCTGCCTGTGAGACATTTGCGCCTCGGAGGCAACATATCAATCATACCACATTTCCACCCCTGTGGCTGCCATTTGCCAATGGGTCAGAGCCTGTTGAACGCCCTACCATAGTCCCTACATGTGACGAATCTGCTCTGAGCCCTGTGCTTGGAGCGCCTTGCGAGCGAAAGCCCCGGGATTCGGGCTTCACGCCCCGGCATTGGCCACAACCCATGGTGAAACGAGGCTCCACGGCTCTGCTGCGAATTATTCTGAGCCACACCTGCGCAAGAGCTGCATCAAACACCACCGTACAATGCTCATCTTAAAAGTTTGCCCGAAACGTCTTGGCAGAAGAGTTGAAATCTTTGAAATCGGAATCAGACCCGTCACCCGTGCACCAAACATCCATACATCCGCTGTACGAAGATGATTTCGCATAACAGCAACATGTTCCGCTGCAGAAATCACAATCTGAGTGGTCAAGGCCCGTGCTCTCCACGCTTTCCTCGCCGTGACACCTGTCGATTTTTTCTGCACCCAAATTTCTGGTGAATCCTTGACTGCGGCACATTTCAAGTTGCTTCGTCAAGTTGTCCCAAGGTTTCCAATTCTGAGTTGCCAGCAGCATACATCAGGATGCCTTGGTGATAGTTCAGCAGTGGCAATCATTGAATTCTTATCATAGCCGACATCGATTGTCCTCTCAAAAAACAGCTATGGCAAGAATCAGATTTTTCCCCGCGGGAACAAGGTGTGGTCGTGGTCAACGCACTAGTCCAACCCTCCAAGTCTGTAATGAGGGGCACATCTTCATCGATAGTGAAACTCCAGCGATCTTCCAGGTCCACGTGAGTCCACGTCCTCTTTTTCCTCTGGAGAATTTTCTGGATCCATATTATTTGGTGATATCAAGACTTAAATATCCTGAGAAAATTTCATGTCTCAGCATACAATAGATCAAAAATAGTTGTACTATCAATGAAAAATGGTGGATACAAGATTGCGCCAACAATTTCAGTGGATATCACTCAGCCAAGCTTTTGGGGGGAAGCAGAGCTTTGAAAAACCAACCGTAAGATCCAACGGGAAGGGGCCCCTCTGGTGATGGTTGCTGGTTTATAACGTTTATAACGTGTATAACCCCATCTAAGAATAGATCAACTATTATATAGTATATAGACATATCACATATCCAGCATAAATCCAACATTTCGCCTAGCTATTCACATAAATCCATAAGTTGCTAAGTTGCCTGTGGAAGGGGCCCCACATTGATGGCTGAGCCGCTTCGCAGTAAATCACAATCTGAGTGTCAAGGCCCGTGCTCTCCACGCTTTCCTCGCCGTGACACCTGTCGATTTTTTCTGCACCCAAATTTCTGGTGAATCCTTGACTGCGGCACATTTCAAGTCGCTTCATCATGTTATCCCCAAGGTTTCCAATTCTGAGTTGCCAGCAGCATCAGGATGCCTTGGTGATAGTTCAGCAGTGGAAATCATTGAATTCTTATCATAGCAGACATCGATTGTCTCACAAAAAACGGCAAGCTTCCAACAGCGGCAAGAATCAGATTTTTCCACGCGGGAACAAGATGTGGTCAAAGCACTAGTCCAACTCCAACCCGTCCAAGTCTGTAATGAGGGGCACATCTTCATCCATAGTGAAACTCCAGCGATCTTCCAAGTCCACGTGAGTCCACGTCCTCTTTTTCCTCTGGAGAATTTTCTGGATCCATATTATTTGGTGATATCAAGACTTAAATATCCTGAGAATTTGAATGAAAAAAGATGAACATATATAGACATTTCAATACATTTCACATATCCAGCATAAATCCAACACTTAGCCTAGCTATTCACTAAGTTGCTAGGAAGGGGCCCCACATTGCTGGCTGAGCCGCTTCGCAGTGGAGACAACCTGAGCAATTCGTTGAAAAAAAACTGGGAATTTCACTTCACAACCAAGGGATAGACATCGTTCACTTCACAACCATGGGATAGACATCGTTAAGCTGAAGTCTATGACAAACATATCTATAACAACATATCAAACAAAAAATGTTGATTATAGACTTTATAGATAATCTGATATGTTTTGAATAGACGGTTACAGCCAACAGCCTAGTTGTAGCGTTGCGCAACGATGAGATCCGCCCTCATTCGATGGCCATTTCAACTAGTTTTTCAACCGCGGGACGGGCGGTTCACAGACATCAGCAGGAGCTTTGGCCTCGAGATATCTCATAGGTGGAACTTAAAATGGGACGGTTTGCAGCAATGAAAAAAGATAAAAAAGATTTGTTTTAAAAAAATAGTGAAAGAAAATTCCGAAATAAGGGTAAATGATGGTAAATAACTTAAATCGATCTTTTGAGGCTACTGTGCTACAAACAATGAACAAAAGCTGCGTTCCACTCGGATCGAATCAGCTAAAATGATGGGTCTTTAGCAGCCAAAAGTGCGGAATCCACCGACGAAACTGGTGATTTTTTGCCAACAAAAACTTAGGATGTCGAGCATGCGGGGTATGGAGATGGGTATGTTGAGGATTTTGTGACCGTGGGGATTTGCCAATCAAGACTTGAGCTGTCAAAAACTATCTGTATACTGTTTGCTGTATATCGCTGTAAGACTTAAGTTACAGTTCATGGGTATAGATATACGATCTGATAATCTCGTGCGGTCTGAAATTGTATTAAAGTACCAACAATGGGTATACATGGGTATACTGTATACTACCAAGAGCAATGATGGCATGGTAGAAGACTATTCTCAGAGGAGCTGGTTCATGTTCCCAAACTCAAAATCTCATGAAAAAACGATAAAAAACACCATGCCCTTGAATCATTTGAAACCTCCAAGGTGGTCACTGTGATGACCATTGATTGCAATTTGCTGCTTCCATCACGATCAAACCTCAAGTATAAAATTGATCCACCCAAAGCCGCACCTGCTGCAATCATGCAGGGAACGTCATTCGATCAACATGTTAACAGCATCAAGTCTAGGCCATGTACAAAACTACTCACATTTTTACACGTCTTCAACAAAAGTGCCTGCAAACTAAATTCCAATACATTATCTCTTTTTCTGCCCTGCCCTTCTGTTAAAAACACCTTGAGAGTTTTTGTTTTGCATGTGCACAAACTGTCTTGGGCCAAAAAGGAAAGGTCTCCACGGTCGAAAATGGCCAAAAACTCGTAGGGATCGGGCAACTAGTGGTTGGCCCACTGCTACACAATGGGGATAGATTGGCAAAATGGAAGCATCCAGAAAACATATGAAGCAATGGCTTGGAACCCCAAGTGTTCACATTTACCACCTGATCACCCATTTTGCATCCCAACAGATCGCCAAATTGCAGCTGTCAAAGGATCCACTTGATCACCATGCACCTTTTAGGACTTTGTTTGGACCATGGCTAGCCGCCATCAGGGAAGAAACGAAGAGAAGTCCAAACGGGTCCCCGCCCTCCAGAAGGACTTCATCTCTTGCGACAGGACACCCAGACGCGGCAACTGCTGGGATCCGCCCTACCGCTTGCAGGAATGGTGTTCCATCGCATTGGATGTGCTTCGTTACTGAATTGCGAACGACACATATCAAGTGGGATGGAAGACCATCCTCATGACAGAAACCCAAAAGATCTAGAGTACGATTGCAGATTGTGCGCATACGCACAACAGAGGGGAAGTACCCCACGAAACATGACTCGAATAGTAGTTTCGCAGTCACTTGCCAAACTTTGGCAAGTGGATACTGAAGAACCGCTGCCACCGGTGGTCACCTCCCATGGATCAGCAGCCAAACAAAAATCGAAAAATGCCTCGCTTGTCGCATTGTCGAACCAGGACACCAGATGCTGGAACTCCCTCCCGGAGGGCTGTAAAGCTGCCAATCCTTTCCAGAGGATTGAAAGCTCCAGCTGCTCTTCGGAGAAGAGTTGATGCTACTAAAATCATGAGGCAATTGGAAAAGATGTCAATACGGATGCACTAAAGTATACGATTGAATTTTACGAATCTGTTTGCACATGTTTGCACAGTATGTGATATGTGATACTATGGTTTTTTGTCAAGTATACAGTATACTCTCTAAAATCTGACGCCAATGGCATGGGCCCGCAAGTGGAGCAGTTTTTCAGAACTTCACACAGCCGCAAGCCTGGCGCACCAACACGACATGCTTGGGGGGTGTGGATCCTGCCGGCTCTCTATGAAACCATATAAAAATAAGCACCTTACTTCGAGTGATTCCTAGCCTGACCAATTTATTGGACATTCTATCTCCCCTTCTTTCTGGCATATATTCTGACATTCTATCTCACGTGGAAAAACGAGTGAAAATCTCCGCTTCACTGGCGACAACGTCAACTGCCATAAGCGACCTGCAAAGAAGGAGGTGGCCACTGTACGTGCGTGTGTGTGTGTGTGCGAGTCAATCCGCATGGTGCAATGGCTGAGCCAAGAATATCTCACATTCTTTCTGGCATTCTATCTGGCATCTTTTCTGCCATTCTTTCTGACATTTTTTCTGGCATTATGTCTGACATATGTTCTGACATCTTATCTGGAAGCCTTTCTGGCGTTCTATCTGGCATGTGTTCGGTTCCGCACTCCACAGCATCGCTGGCCGTATGGCATTCGGGTCCTCAAGCCCCAAAGAAACAATCCACATCAACCACTCGTTCTGTAGATCTCAAGGATGATGTTCAACCAGTTGTCGACATAAAAGGACACAGACAAACAACAAATCTGTAAGTCATCGGCTATGCCTATGCACCAAGTAAGTAGGCTTGGCTAAGCACCTTTGAGCATCTTTAAAAGTCTTGTAATTAAATGTAATCATGATCATTATGATTGTGATCATGATGATTTTTCATCCACTAATAATAATATCTTAGAAAGAACTGGTAGCTGCCCCTCATCACAAATCCCTCAGCCTTCCGTTCAAAAGGAAGCCACTCCACACCATCTACATCGTCCGACGTCTGGTCCATGCCTCAATGGCTGGCAAGTTCCCATCTCTACTGGAAAATACCTAGACTTTCCTTTCACGAACTCACAGCAGCTTGCTTTTTCTCATAGGTGCTTGAATGGCGTGTCTGATACGGGGTGTTTTAAATGGACCTGTAATTCAATGTTCCTCACCGCAGGGTGTGACTAGAGCAACTAGCAAGAACTACAAAAGCCAGATCATGGCATTTTGATGCCCATAGATGCCCCAAACCCCAAACATCTCCCAAACGTTTTCGAACAAATCATGTTTATGCTAACGGCTCTAAAGCGGTACTTGTGCTTGCGTTCTAGAACTGCTGCCAGTGTGCTCGTCGAATACTGCCATTTTCCATGCTTGCGGGTAGAAAGATTTAAAAAAATAACACAAAAATGGAAACTCGACACAATGGAAAAGAAAGAGAGAAAATCAACAAATATGCAGAACCCTGCGGTTTTGGGTGTCGCAGCCAGGAGCCTCCAAAAACCCTAAACCATTCTTGGGCGTTTCTTTCTGCTTGCAGTTGCAGAATTCAACCGTGTACTCAGGAGGGTGATTCTGGAAGTCTAATCCCCCACATTTTGAGCTTGTAGCACTTGTAACCTTTACCTTATTCGGGACAACCGTACCTTTGGGACCACCCTCTGAAATCTTCCGATCCAACTAAGTAAACTCATGTTCGATCAAACCAACCCTCAACCAGCAACAGCTGGGCAGCTGGGCAGCTAGGCAGCTAGGCAGCTAGGCAGCTGGGCGGTGGATTAAGACCGGATCTAAAGGGTGGAAGCGTGTATTAACCTACCTCCATACTGAAACACTTCTAGAAACACTCAGAAATTAACAAACCGATTCAATTTTGCCTGGAATGCAGTAAAGTTCAATGTCCGAGCTTCGAACGATGAGTTGGGACCCTGCTGACCGCATTTCTTCTCAGTGAATCTTGAACAATTGACAGTTACCACAAGCGCGATGCCAAAGCATTGGTTTTACACCTCTGGCATATGGCATTTGTCGAAGTGAAACGACACTGAGGTGAAACCCACAATCATTGAATGATCAGGCGCCACCTGAGCAAGTGGCTGAAAGCAGTGCGCAAATGCCAGGTTTGAAGCAAACATCCTTTACAAGTCATTCCTTTCGTCCACATGGTTTAGGTATGTTTGGTTGTCTTTGTTGCCAAACTGGCAAAATCGAAGCACAGGAAGCCTGACGGACGGATACCGCCCAACTCCACGAAGTCCGGTACTCCTTCGCTCTTCCGCAAAGCTGGCCAAACGGGCTGTGGAAGCTGCTCCCAGGCGTCTGCTGGGATCTTGTCGCACTCATCCAAACTGAGTTCCTTCCGGTTTCAAGACAAAAGAAGTTCTCAAAGACAGCCGCATGAATGAGTCGCACGTCACAACACAGAATGTTCCTCCAGCGCTGCGCATTTGGCCAAGGAAAGGAGGAGCACGGCGGCCCCATCTGCGCCCTTTGTCCGTGCATCGAAGCACCTTCAAAACAGGGAGAACTCAGTCTGCTTTTAGATGTTGAAACATCTTCTCAAAGTAAAAATCTGACAGCAAAATGTGACCAGACAATCTGAATCACTCAGTGGAAACTGGTGACAACCAACAGATATATCATTGGGAGAAGATGCGGGTGGAACACCTAGGATCAAGGCAATCACAACTCGCTACTGTCTGAAGTTTCTCAACTTTGGCAAACTATCCATTCCACCAACTGAAACGTTCACGCAGCAACGTTTTCCCGCCAAGACACCCATGAAATGATGCCTTTTTGAGGTTCACCCACCTGGCTTCTCCCAACTGCTTCCAGGCGTCTGCTGGGATCTCGTTGCAAAAACTCAAGTCAAGATCCTTCCGGTTTCAAGACAAAAGAATTTCTCAAAGACAGTCACACGTCACAACTCAGAATGTTCCTCCAGCGTTGCGCATTTGGCCAAGGAAAGGAGGAGCACAGCGGCCCCATCTGCGCCCTTTGTCCGTGCATCAAAGCACCTTCAAAACAGGGAGAACTCAGTCTGCTTGTAGATGTTGAAACATCTTCTCAAAGTGAAAGTCTGACAGCAAAATGTACCCAGACAATCTGAATCACTCAATGGAAATTGGTGACAACCAACTGATATCATTCGGAAAAATCACATGAGATGCAGAAGATCAAGACAACCACAACTCCCTGCTGTCTGAAGCTTTTCAACTTTGGAGGTTCCTTTCTAAGAATTCAAGCTTCACGCAGCAACGTTTTCCCGCCAAGACACCCGCGAAATGATGCCTTTTTGAGGTTCACCCACCTGGCTTCTCCCAGCTGCTTCCACGCGTCTGCTGGGATCTTGTCGCAGTCACCCAAACTGAGCCCCTTCCGGGTTCAAGACAAAAGGAGTTCTCAAAGACAGTCACACGTCACAACTCAGAATGTTCCTCCAGCGCTGCGCATTTGGCCAAGGAAAGGAGGAGTACGGCGGCCCCTCTTGCGCCCACTGTGTCTGAATCGAAGCACCTTGAAAACATTCGCGGAATGAAATCTGACAACAGAATGTCACTTGCGTTTCTGTATCAGAGACAACCCCAAAAACATCATTTGAAGAAATCACATGAGATGCAGAAGATCAAGGCAATCACAACTCCGTGCTGTCTGAAGTTTCTCAACTTTGCCAAAGTGTAACTTCCAAGAACTGAAACCCATCGTGCAACAACATTTTCCCGCCAAGACACAATGCAAATGATGCCTTTTTGAGGTTCACCCACCTAGCTTCTCCCAACTGCTTCCAGGCGTCTGCTGGGATCTTGTCGCACCAATCCAAGTCAAGATCCTTCCGGTTTCAAGACAAAAGAAGTTCTCAAAGACAGTCACACGTCACAACTCAGAATGTTCCTCCAGCGTTGCGCATTTGGCCAAGGAAAGGAGGAGCACGGCGGCCCCATCTGCGCCCACTGTGTCTGAATCGAAGCACCTTCAAAACAGGGAGAACTCAGTCTGCTTTTAGATGTTGAAACATCTTCTCAAAGTGACAATCTGACAGCAAAGTGTCATGCTGTATAACTCAGTGGAAATTTGAAACAACCCAACAGAACAATCGTACAAGTTTCACATGAGACATGTAGGATTATGCAATTCACAGCTCCCTACTGTCTGAAGTTTCTCAACTTTGGCAAACTATCCATTCCACCAACTGAAACGTTCACGCAGCAACGTTTTCCCGCCAAGAAACCCGCGAAATGATGCCTTTTTGAGGTTCACCCACCTGGCTTCTCCCAACTGCTTCCAGGCGTCTGCTGGGATCTTGTCGCAGTCACCCAAACTGAGCTCCTTCCGGGTTCAAGACAAAAGGAGTTCTCAAAGACAGTCACACGTCACAACTCAGAATGTTCCTCCAGCGCTGCGCATTTGGCCAAGGAAAGGAGGAGTACGGCGGCCCCTCTTGCGCCCACTGTGTCTGAATCGAAGCACCTTGAAAACATTCGCGGAATGAAATCTGACAACAGAATGTCACTTGCGTTTCTGTATCAGAGACAACCCCAAAAACATCATTTGAAGAAATCACATGAGATGCAGAAGATCAAGGCAATCACAGCTCCGTGCTGTCTGAAGTTTCTCAACTTTGCCAAAGTGTAACTTCCAAGAACTGAAACCCATCGTGCAACAACATTTTCCCGCCAAGACACCATGCAAATGATGCCTTTTTGAGGTTCACCCACCTAGCTTCTCCCAACTGCTTCCAGGCGTCTGCTGGGATCTTGCCGCAGCCATCCAAACTGAGCTCCTTCCGGGTTCAAGACAAAAGAAGTTCTCAAAGACAGTCACACGTCACAACTCAGAATGTTCCTCCAGCGTTGCGCATTTGGCCAAGGAAAGGAGGAGCACGGCGGCCCCATCTGCGCCCTTTGTGTCCCGACTGAAGCACCTTCAAAACAGAGAGAACTCAGTCTGCTTTTAGATGTTGAAACATCTTCTCAAAGTGACAATCTGACAGCAAAGTGTCATGCTGTATCACTCAGTGGAAATTTGAAACAACCCAACAGAACAATCGTACAAGTTTCACATGAGACATGTAGGATTAAGCAATTCACAACTCCCTACTGTCTGAAGTTTCTCAACTTTGGCAAACTATCCATTCCACCAACTGAAACGTTCACGCAGCAACGTTTTCCCGCCAAGACACCCGCAAAATGATGCCTTTTTGAGGTTCACCCACCTGGCTTCTCCCAACTGCTTCCAGGCGTCTGCTGGGATCTTGTCGCAGTCACCCAAACTGAGCTCCTTCCGGGTTCAAGACAAAAGGAGTTCTCAAAGACAGTCACACGTCACAACTCAGAATGTTCCTCCAGCGCTGCGCATTTGGCCAAGGAAAGGAGGAGCACGGCGGCCCCTCTTGCGCCCACTGTGTCTGAATCGAAGCACCTTGAAAACATTCGCGGAATGAAATCTGACAACAGAATGTCACTTGCGTTTCTGTATCAGAGACAACCCCAAAAACATCATTTGAAGAAATCACATGAGATGCAGAAGATCAAGGCAATCACAACTCCGTGCTGTCTGAAGTTTCTCAACTTTGCCAAAGTGTAACTTCCAAGAACTGAAACCCATCGTGCAAAAACATTTTCCCGCCAAGACACCCGCGAAATGATGCCTTTTTGAGGTTCACCCACCTGGCTTCTCCCAACTGCTTCCAGGCGTCTGCTGGGATCTTGAAGCAAAAATCCAAGTTAAGATCCTTCCGGTTTCAAGACAAAAGAAGTTCTCAAAGACAGTCACACGTCACAACTCAGAATGCTCCTCCAGCGCTGCGCATTTGGCCAAGGAAAGGAGGAGCACCAGTTGGTTACACGGAGGAGTATCCCGGTCAAATTGGGCCGAACGAAGATGTTTGGCACCGGTGCAGAGACTGGTGCAAGCGTCAGTGCAACCTGCCACCCAGGCTTGAAATTTGCAACAAGGCGGTTCTTGCAACAAAAGAACTCTGAAGCTAGGGCACGCCGGTGAGCACAGCATCCTTAACAAGTCATTCCGGCAAAATCTACATTGAAGCACAGGAAGCCTGACGGATGGATACCGCCCAACTCCACGAAGTCCGGTACTCCTTCGCTTTTCTGCAAAGCTGGCCAAACGGGCTGTGGAAGCTGCTCCCAGGCGTCTGCCGGGATCTTGTCGCAGTCACGCAAATTGAGCTCCTTTGGGTTTCAAGACAAAAGAAATTCTCAAAGACAGCCGCATGAATGAGTCGCACGTCACAACTCAGAATGTTCCTCCAGCGCTGCGCATTTGGCCAAGGAAAGGAGGAGCACGGCGGCCCCTCTTGCGCCCTTTGTGTCCCGACCGAAGCACCTTGAAAACATTCGCGGAATGAAATCTAACAACAGAATGTCACTTGCGATTCTGTGTCAGAGACAACCCCAAAAACATCATTTGAAGAAATCACATGAGATGCAGAAGATCAAGGCAATCACAGCTCCGTGCTGTCTGAAGCTTCTCAACTTTGCCAAAGTGTAACTTCCAAGAACTGAAACCCATCGTGCAAAAACATTTTCCTGCCAAGACACTGGCAAAATGATGCCTTTTTGAGGTTCACCCACCTGGCTTCTCCCAGCTGCTTCCAGGCGTCTGCTGGGATCTTGTAGCAACGATCCAAGTTAAGATCCTTCCAGTTTCAAGACAAAAGAAGTTCTCAAAGACAGTCACACGTCACAACTCAGAATGTTCCTCTAGCGCTGCGCATTTGGCCAAGGAAAGGAGGAGCACAGCGGCCCCATCTGCGCCCTTTGTCCGTGCATCGAAGCACCTTCAAAACAGGGAGAACTCAGTCTGCTTGTAGATGTTGCAACATCTTCTCAAAGTGAAACTCTGACAGCAAAATGTGACCAGACAATCTGAATCACTCAGTGGAAACTGGTGACAACCAACAGATATATCATTGGGAGAAGATGCGGGTGGGACACGTAGGATCAAGGCAATCACAACTCGCTACTGTCTGAAGCTTCTCAACTGCTGCAAAGTCTCAAGTCCACGCACTGAAACCCATCGTGCAACAACTTTTTTCTGCCAAGACACCCCATAAATGATGCCTTTTTGAGGTTCACCCACCTGGCTTCTCCCAGCTGCTTCCAGGCGTCTGCTGGGATCTCGCTGCACCAACCCAAGTTAAGATCCTTCCGGTTTCAAGACAAAAGAAGTTCTCAAAGACAGTCACACGTCACAACTCACAAAACGTTCCTCCAGCGCTGCGCATTTGGCCAAGGAAAGGAGGAGCACGGCGGCCCCTTCTGCGCCCACTGTGTTATAACCGAAGCACCTTCAAAACACGGAGAAGTCAGTGCTTTTAGACGTTGAGACATCTTCTCAAAGTGAAACTCTGACAGCAAAATATGACCAGACAATCTGAATCACTCAGTGGAAACTGGTGACAACCAACAGATATATCATTGGGAGAAGATGCGGGTGGGAAACATAGGATCAAGGCAATCACAAGTCGCTACTGTCTGAAGCTTCTCAACTGCTGCAAAGTCTCAAGTCCACGAACTGAAACCCATCGTGCAACAACATTTTCCTGCCAAGGCACCATTGAAATGATGCCTTTTTGAGGTTCACCCACCTGGCTTCTCCCAGCTGCTTCCAGGCGTCTGCTGGGATCTTGAAGCACCAATGCAAGTTAAGATCCTTCCGGTTTCAAGACAAAAGAAGTTCTCAAACACAGTCACACGTCACAACTCAGAATGTTCCTCTAGCGCTGCGCATTTGGCCAAGGAAAGGAGGAGCACGGCAGCCCCATCTGCGCCCTTTGTCCGTGCATCGAAGCACCTTCAAAACAGGGAGAACTCAGTCTGCTTTTAGATGTTGCAACATCTTCTCAAAGTAAAACTCTGACAGCAAAATGTGACCAGACAATCTGAATCACTCAGTGGAAACTGGTGACAACCAACAGATATATCCTTCGGAGAAGATGCGGGTGGGACACGTAGGATCAAGGCAATCACAAGTCGCTACTGTCTGAAGCTTCTCAACTTCTGCAGAGTCTCAAGTCCACGAACTGAAACCCATCGTGCAACAACATTTTCCTGCCAAGGCACCATTGAAATGATGCCTTTTTGAGGTTCACCCACCTGGCTTCTCCCAGCTGCTTCCAGGCGTCTGCTGGGATCTTGAAGCACCAATGCAAGTTAAGATCCTTCCGGTTTCAAGACAAAAGAAGTTCTCAAAGACAGTCACACGTCACAACTCACAAAACGTTCCTCCAGCGCTGCGCATTTGGCCAAGGAAAGGAGGAGCACGGCGGCCCCTTCTGCGCCCACTGTGTTATAACCGAAGCACCTTCAAAACAGGGAGAAGTCAGTGCTTTTGGATGTTGAAAAGTCTTCTCAAAGCGAAACTCTGACAGCAAAATGCGACCAGACAATCTGAATCACTCAGTGGAAACTGGTGACAACCAACAAATATATCATTGGGAGAAGATGCGGGTGGGACACGAAGGATCAAGGCAATCACAACTCGCTACTGTCTGAAGCTTCTCAACTGCTGCAAAGTCTCAAGTCCACGAACTGAAACCCATCGTGCAACAACATTTTCCTGCCAAGACACTGGCAAAATGATGCCTTTTTGAGGTTCACCCACCTGGCTTCCCCCAGCTGCTTCCAGGAGTCTGCTGGGATCTTGTCGCAGCCACCCAAATTGAGCTCCTTCGGGTTTCAAGGCTAAAACCATGATCCCAAACAGTCACATGAATGAGTCGCACATCACAACTCACAAGGATCCTCCAGCGCTGCACATTTGGCCAAGGAAAGGAGGAGTGTGGATGTCCCTTTCGCTCCAGTGATGGAGGAACAGAGAACTCGCAGTTTTCGCAGGAATTGCCGCACAGGGCCCTCCAACCAATCAGCATCTTCTTCACGAACCAAACCACTTAGAAGATGCTGCTTCGGCATTGCTGCCAAAATGGCCACTGGCACCTGGGGCAAGTCGAACACCAAAAAGCCTTCATTGCACCGGAAGAAACCGGAAGCGCCTCGTTTGGGCAGTTGAATGCAGCAGGAAGCGCGGAATACCTGATCTCAATCGCCTTCATCTCGTCAGGACCACCTCATTTGAAGCAAAGCTGCGCACTGTCGGCAATTTCTTGGAAAATGCACTCATTCAGAACGCACATGCGCAGCAAGATACTTTCGGACGCCAGCCGATTGAAGATAGGACATTCTACCTTCGCAGGGGAACATGCAAAAATCATCAAAAATCCATCAAACCTTCAATTTGAAAAAATGCACAAGACACCAAAATTCAATTTGTCATGCCCTGCCTTGGGCCCCAGGTAATACACAAAAAATGACCTTCCTACGCAGCTGACAGCTGTGAGAGCCAGCCACGCTCCCAACACCTCTTTTGGCAATGCCTGCACCCATGACACAGCACGATGCAACATGATGCGGACGGCTGACACGGAACAAACACCGCGTTCGAACAAACACTTGAAGCTGACGGCAGGCACCACCTGCCTTAGAGTGTTCAGCAAACAAGGCCTCGTTGCGCACCAGAATCTGACAGATGATCAGGGTCACTGCCAGCATTCCGTCCAGAAACAACGACGCGTGAAACGGCAACAACGACGTAGGCTCTAGAAGCTGCCCAGGATGTGCAACGACAGCTGCCAGCACATCTACAGTAGGTGCATTCCTGAACAAAAGTCTGGACGAAACTGCCAGGACCAAGACCACCACGGGTCCTCCCAACTTGAAGTTTGCGAAGCGGGTCGAAATGTGCACCAGGCTAATGCCAAACACACGGCTCAGGACCTCCATGAAACGGACCAAAATGAGCAAAAGGAACTCCAGGTCCCAGTCAGTTTTCTTCCCTGGAAGCCCAAGAACGCGTGAAGGGCTCTTATCGCGGGATGCAAAGCCCAACCCCAACATGCCGCATGATAAGCAGATGGAAGCAGCCAGGAATCCTAAGTCGGTCGGATTCAATTCCAAGTCTGCAAAGGCTTCAACCCCAGAGAGCGCGCATACCAGATAGTTCGCCTGGACGAACGCAGACGTAGCGGCTTCCATCACCTTCGGCCGTGAAAATTAAAAGGTTGGTTTAAGGTTTGACAGGTTTGACAGGTTTGACAAACTCCTCAAACAAAATTCGCACGCAAAGCATGTAAATGTAACATGCGAACCGTTGCAAGCAATCGGCCAGTGCCTCCGCCTGTTTGCTGCACGCTAGCAGAGGGTGTTTGAAGCGGTGTGCCGCAGACCAAATGCAAAGGCCAAATGTGTGTATCTGAAACAGCACACTGCACACCCCACCCGCAATCACCAAAGCTTCAGAACATCCAATTGCCATGATCGCATCTCTTTCTGGGCTCTCTGTATGCAAAAAGTGTAAAACTTCGTATACACTCAGCATGATGGGCAACGACATGCCGGCAAGGTTTATGTCGAAGTAATCCATCATTCCGGTTTTTGCAAACAAAACCAGTTGTTTCACATCGAGCACGATGTCAAGGTACCAGGCTGCCTTAGAAATCGAATTTTCAGGAGATGTCAAGTCAAAAAAATGTTTCTTCCTTTCTTCTGACAGCCGAAGTCATATTTTGTGTGATTGTCGAGTACAAAGGGCGAGGGTGACAAACACATAGCAGATTTACGTGAATGAATTCAACTGAATCTGTAATCTCTGCGGAAAGTGAGGCCCTGACCAAATCGAGGCAAATAAGCTCGAACCAAAACATGACCGTCTGGCCAGTGGAGATCTTAACATGTCGCGACATGTTGCGGCAATCCATTGTGTTGGAACTCTCAGACCACAGGACCCCAGTGATGTGGTCCCGCCGGGGCCCTGAGAGACATCGGAAACCGACGATGGGTAGGACTGCTTCATGTTCTTTGGGATCAACGGTGACTGATTTGAAGATGTCCAGATCATTCACTTCGATGTCTGGGAGGCTGATACGTCTTCCACGACGACGTGGTGCTGGCCACACTGCGCCACCAGAAAGTGGTTCCATACGCAAGATAGTCTTGTCGGCATCTTGCGCGCGAATGATGATGTGTGGGTGGTAATACAGGGCTCCACCCCCTTCATCGTGTACCTGAGGGGCCAACTGGGACATCATTCCTTGTTTCCAATTACAGTACCTCACCATACCTCACCACAAATGAAAAAAACTCTGCAACCTAGAATGGGGACAAATCATACAAATGGCTTACATCATGACATGACATGATCTATATCATATCATATCAATGTTTCCATGCCAGAAATTTAACGCTAGCTTAATATGGCATGTTGAACTCTAACTACCAAGGCGAAACACGACTGTCAATTTGAAACTTTATAATTTATAACTTTGTCGGCACTTATGAGCTGCACAGCTGGGACAAAGTCTGGAGTGGTTGGAAATTGTTTCCAACTGGTAAGATACATTGAGAGACATGATGTCTCACGAGTTTTTCTGCAGAGCGATCATTTAGGTAGTTTGCAGTTCATGCTTCCAGTGCATCTTAACTTGCAGCTTTGTGCGGGGCATCCACCCTCCACTTGATAAAAAGAACTTCTAGAACGATCAAAAGCATTGACCTGAAGACTCATCAACAGAAAGGATTGCGCAGGAACGACATTTTCGGCTATTTTCCAACACAGGTGTCAAAGTGTTCTCACAGTGTTGAGTAGTTGATGTGATCGTACGTGCTTGGGTCAAACGTGCTTGTCGTTTCTTTTTACGACAAGTCAAACTGATTTTCAAATGCCCGTGATTGTAGCACAAATAACATAGGGCCCTTGCCAGCATGTGACATTGCTCTGAATGTATTTTTTCCAATGTTATTCAACTGTATGTTTGATTATGTTTGTATATAAATTATGGATTGCTTCCTAAGACAAAATGGGTTGGGACAATGCTCATGTCTTTGTTTCAATGCGATCTTGCTTCCTGAAAACGCAGCAACTGCTATAACTTTGCATGATCTGAATCTGTTCACACCCCCCAGTCCTCATCACAACAGAAGGCAAGGACATCTTCATTGCTTTCTATGGTGATCGTGTGTTCCACGATGTCCTCCGCTAGAAACTTTCCCACCGGTGCCAGTCGGATCTCTTGACTGATGCCGTCACCCGCGAGTTTCAGACTCAACAGGAGCCCATCCTCTGCATCCTCTGGAAAGGGGTATACCCCCTTAGGCCAAACGATCTGGGCTGAGAAAGTTCTTCGTCGCTGGTGGTCGATGCCGACTTCCAAATCGCTAGCAAGCAATGGGATCCTTGGAAAATGAAAACGAACAACGATCAGCACAGAAAAACGATGCCAAGATCTTAAAGGCCTGTGTCACTGAACCGAAATCTCTGATTGCTAGACCTGTATTTCAAAACCATGCCATTCCCAGCTTCCCATCAATAGCCTAGTTCTGTCACTCTCTGTCTCCAACATGTTGTGCTTGGCCAAAGGCACAATTCCATTTCTGCCTGTGAGACATTTGCGCCTCGGAGCAGGCAACATACCAATCATACCACATGTTTTTTCCTGTGGCTGCCATTTGCCAATGGGTCAGAGCCTGTTGAATGTCCTACATGTCAACCCTGTTGCCTGTTCCATAATCCCTACATGTGACGAATCTGCTCTGAGCCCTGTGCTTGGAGCGCCTTGCGAGCGAAAGCCCCGCGATTCGGGCTTCACGCCCCGGCATTGGCCACAACCCATGGTGAAACGAGGCTCCACGGCTCTGCTGCGAATTCTGAGCCACACCTGCGCAAGAGCTGCATCAAACACCACCGTACAATGTTCGTCATCTTTAAAAGTTTGCCCGAAACGTTTTGGCAAAAGAATTGAAATCGGAATCAGACCCATCACCTGTGCACCAAACATCCATGCATCCGCTGTACGAAGATGATTTCGCATACCCTACAACTGCAACATTTTCCGCTGCAGAAATCACAATCTGAGAGTCAAGGCCCGTGCTCTCCACACTTTCGTCGTGACACCTGGCGAATTTGTCTGCAGCCATTTTCCGATCACTGCACGATCCGAATTTCTGGTGAATCGTTGCGGCACATTTCAAGTTGCTTCGTCAAGTTATCCCAAGGTTTCCAATTCTGAGTTGCCAGCAGCATACATCAGGATGCCTTGGTGATAGTTCAGCAGTGGAAATCCTTGAATTCTTATCATAACCGACATCGATTGTCTCAAAAAACGGCAAGCTAAAAACAGCGGCAAGAATCAGATTTTCCCACGGAAGGTGTGGTCAAAGCACTAGTCCAACTCCAACCCGTCCAAGTCTGTAATGAGAAGCACATCTTCATCGATAGTGAAACTCAAGCGATCTTCCAAGTCCACCTCCTCTTTTTCCTCCTCTGGAGAATTTTCTGGATCCATATTATTTGGTGATATCAAGACTTAAATACCCTGAGAAATGTTAATGTCTCAGCATACAATAGATCAAAAAGAGTTGTACTATCAATGAAAAATGGTGGATACAAGATTGCATCGCCAACAATTTCAGTGGATATCACTCAGCCAAGCTTTTGGGGGAAGCAGAGCTTTGAAAAACCAACCGTAAGATCCAACGGGAAGGGGCCCCTCTGGTGATGGTTGCTGGTTTATAACGTTTATAACCCCATCTAAGAATAGATCAACATATATAGTATATAGACATATCACACATCCAGCATAAATCCAACACTTCGCCTAGCTATTCACATAAATCCATAAGTTGCTAAGTTGCCTATGGAAGGGGCCCCACATTGATGGCTGAGCCGCTTCGCAGTGAAGGAGATAACCTGAGCAATTCGTTGAAAACTCGGGAATTTCACTTCACAACCAAGGGAGAGACATCATTAAGCTGAAGTCTATTCTCAAAGATATCAATAAAAACATATCTATAACAACATATCAAACATATCAAACAAAAAAAGTTGGTTATAGACTTTATAGATAATCTGATATGTTTTGAATAGACGGTTCCAGCCAACAGCCAAGTTGTAGCGTTGCGCAACGATGAGATCCGCCCTCATTCGGCCGCGGGACGGGCGGTTCACAGACATCAGCAGGAGCTTTGGCCTCGAGATATCCCATAGGTGGAACTTAAAATGGGACGGGTTGCAGCAACCCAAAGAAATAAAAGATGTTGTTTGAAAAAATAGAAAGAACAAAATGCCGAAATAATGGTAAATGATGCGAAATGACTTAAAAATCGATCTTTTGAAGCTACTATGCTACAAACAATGAACAAAAGCTGCGTTCCACTCGGATCGAATCAGCTAAAGTCATGGGTCTTTAGCCAAAAGTGCGGAATCCACCGAGAAAACTGGTGATTTTTGGCCAAGAAAAACTTCGGATGTCGAGATATGTCGAGCATGCGGGGTATGGAGATGGGTATGTTGATTGAGGATTTTGTGACCATGGGGATTTGCCAATCAAGACTTGAGCTGTCAAAAACTATCGGTAGACTGTTCGCTGTATATCGCTGTAAGACTTAAGCTATAGTTCATGGGTATAGGAATACGATCTCGTGGAGTCTAAAATGGTCATAAGATAACCAACAATGGGTATATTGTATACTACCAAGAGCAATGATGGCATGGGAGAAGACTACTCTGAGAGGAGCTGGTTCAAATTCCCACACTCAAAATCTCCTTGGCAAAATGGCATGAAAAAATTGAAAAAACACCATGCCCTTGAATCATTTGAAACCTCCAAGGTGGTCACTGTGATGACCATTGATTGCAATTTGTTGCTTCCATCACGATCAAACCTCAAGTATAAAATTGATCCACCCAAAGCCGCACCTGCTGCAATCATGCAGGGAACGTCATTCGATCAACATGTTAACAGCATCAAGTCTAGGCCATGTACAAACAAAACTACTCACATTTTTACAAGTCTTCAACAAAAGTGCCCGCAAACTAAATTCCAGTACATTATCCTTTTTCTGCCCTGCCCTTCTGTTAAAAACACCTTGGGAGTTGTTTTTTCTGTATGTGCACAAACTGTCTTGGGCCAAAAAGGAAAGGTCACCAAGGTCGAAAATGTCCAAAAACTCGTAGGGATCGGGCAACTAGTGGTTGGCCCACTGCTAAACAATGGGGATAAGTTGGCAAAATGGAAGCATCCAGAAATATGAAACAAAGGGAACCCCAACTGTTCACAATAATTTACCACCTGATCACCCATTTTGCATCCCATAGATCGCCAAATTGCAGCTGTCAAGGGATCCACTTGATCACCATGCACCTTTTAGGACTTTTTTTGGACCATGGCTAGCCGCCATCAGGGAAGAAACGAAGAGGAGTCCCAACTGGTCCCTGCCTTCCAGGACACCCATGTGTAGCTTGCTGTAGATCGCAGCCCGGGATTTCGAAGTTCCAATGCGAGGCGGCAACTGCTGGATCCGCCCTACGGCTGGTAGGAATGGTGTTCCATCGCACTGGATGTGCTTCGTTGCTGAATTGCGAAGGAAACATATCAAATGGGATGGAAGACCATCCTCATGACAGAAACCCAAAAGATCTAGAGTACGATTGCAGATTGTGCGCATACGCACAACAGAGGGGAAGTACCCCACGAAACATGACTCGAATAGTAGTTTCGCAGTCACTTGGCAAACTTTGGCAAGTGGATACTGAAGAACCGCTGCCACCGGTGGTCACCTCCCATGGATCAGCAGCCAAACAAAAATCGAAAAATGCCTCGCTTGTCGCATTGTCGAACCAGGACACCAGATGCTGGAACTCCCTCCCGGAGGGCTGTAAAGCTGCCAATCCTTTCCAGAGGATTAAAAGCTCCAGCTGCTCTTCACAGGGAGAAGAGTTGATGCTAAAATCATGAGGCACTTGAAAAAGATGTCAATACGGATGCACTAAAGTATACGATTGAATCTTATGAACCTGTTTGCACATGTTTGCACAGTATGTGATATGTATGTGATACTATGTTTTTTTTGAAAAGTATACTCTTGAATCTGACGCCAATGGCATGGGCCCCCAGGTGGAGCAGTTTTTCAGAACTTCACACAGCCGCAAGCCTGGCGTTCCAACACGACATGCTTGGGGGGTGTGGATCCTGCCGGCTCTCTATGAAACCATTTAAAAATAAATACC